ACCCACTACCAGTACACTCCTTGTGAACATACTACCAGTACACTCCATGGGAACCCACTACCAGTACACTCCTTGGGAACCCACTACCAGTACGCTCCTTTGGGAACCCACTACCAGTACACTCCTTTGGGAACCTACTACCAGTACACTCCTTGTGAACCTACTACTAGTACGCTCCATGGGAACCTACTACCAGTACACTCCTTGGGAACCCACTACCAGTACACTCCTTGGGAACCTACTACCAGTACACTCCTTTGGAACCTACTACTAGTACACTCCTTGTGAACCCACTACCAGTACACTCCTTGGGAACCTACTACCAGAACACTCCTTGGGAACCCACTACCAGTACACTCCTTGGGAACCTACTACCAGTACACTCCTTGGGAACCCACTACCAGTACACTCCTTGGGAACCCACTACCAGTACACTCCTTGTGAACCTACTACCAGTACACTCCTTGGGAGCCTACTACCAGTACACTCCTTGTGAACCCACTACCAGTACACTCCTTGGGAACCCACTTCCAGTACACTCCTTGGGAACCCACTACCAGTACACTCCTTGGGAACCTACTACCAGTACACTCCTTGGGAACCTACTACCAGTACACTCCTTGGGAACCCACTACCAGTACACTCCTTGGGAACCCACTTCCAGTACACTCCTTGGGAACCTACTACCAGTACACTCCTTGGAATCTACTACCAGTACACTCCTTGGGAACCTACTACCCGTACACTCCTTGTGAACCCACTACCAGTACAGTCCTTGGGAACCAACTACCAGTACACTCCTTGTGAACCCACTACCATTACACTCCATGGGAACCCACTACCAGTACACTCCTTGGGAACCTACTACCCGTACCCTCCTTGGGAACCTACTACCAGTACACTCCTTAGGAACCTATTACCAGTACTCTCCTTGGGAACCCACTACCAGTACACTCCTTGGGAACCTACTACCAGTACACTCCTTGTGAACCCACTACCAGTACGCTCCTTGTGAACCCACTACCAGTACGCTCCTTGGGAACCTACTACCAGTACGCTCCTTGGGAACCTACTACCTGTATATTCCTTGCTCACAAGGTTTATAGTGGTATTATACCCCATTGTCAACCTAATGCAACTATAACCCTTGTGAACAATCTAAAGCTGACACGAACACTTTACCAGTATGCCCGGTTCTAACACACTGCCAATATAGCAGAGTCGAATATAGTACTAGTACAATTGTCTGAATTCATCTGAAAGTCACGTTTCTTGGCAAGTCAGTGCTTGAGGAACATCTGTATGTCGTTTATCACCGTGACGTAGTGTTAGTGTACGTGCATATGTTACGTACGTGACACACAGAAGCATGGGTCTGGCCTTTTCGTACAGTCACCTAACATGGCGTGAAGGGATATGGAAGGCCTACAGTACGACAGTGTAACGATAGATGAGACAAAATCATTGGTCACAATATGAGTGAGTGCGTATGATTTTGCCACTTATAGCAATGTCACAGCGGGGGACAATATCGCAGCATGTGGGGAATCGAACCAGGGTATTCGGCGTGATGAACAAACGCTTTAATCCAATGGCAACCCCACCACCCGGGGAAATATGAATATCTCATATCCGCTGAAGAAACAGAATATTCTTTTACCTCTTGAATATAAAGACATGATCAAATAAAAAACATGCCATGTACAGAAAGTTTTCATGCTTGCAGGCGGGCGCGGCTGTTTCAAATGTCTTAAGCCATGCGAATTGCTATGAAGAGTTGCGTCCCTTTGACGTGACTAAACTTGTGGGTCAAATCCCAGAGGCTTTTAGAGGAATATATCTTCACTATGAATAGAGATTTTATCATTTTTGAGAATTGCTGTGCTTATCTAAGCACTGCTCCACAGAACCATGTAAAGCAATAAGTAATCCGATTTGTTGCTATTTTTCTTGAAATACTATGTTTTAACTGCTGAGTATGGCATAAGTACAGCACCATGTATTTGGTATCATAAGAAACCCAACAGATTCAGCTTTCTCACAAATACATTTCAGACCAGTCATTGTTATGACACATTGGATTCAGGGCGTTTCCATGGTTACCATTCATTTTTAATTGCATCACAGACATGCATTCTATCATGCCTTTATGTAGCTAAATATTGCTTTTTAAGAGTGTTTACAGGTGTTCATGATATTCTGCTCTCTGGGTGATGAACACATGTGGATAAACACCTTCACGATCAAAAGTCAAGGTCAAATCCGTCAATTTTGTAGCCGTTTTATTATATATTTTATCATATATTGTTGGTATGTCAACACATTGGTTCAGAGCTCAGAATCACTATTTTATGAAACCAAATGTTGCCAAAATGAAAAGTGTTATTCAATATGATTTTTTGGGGGGTGTCACCGTGGCAACCAGGAATTTCAATGACAGATGAAATATGTTCAATGTGCGGCTTTGTTCGTTTACCGTGCCTTGTTAAAAAGATTGAATGGTTGGCTGGTGTGTCAAACCATTTGTCAAACCAAGTCAGCGAGCCTGACCACCCGATCCCGTTAGTCGCCTCTAACGACAAGCATTGGTTACAGAAGATCCATTCTAACTCGGTTGTTAAAAAGAAAGCCCACCACTCACTCACTGCAACCCTTGTTTATAATATAAATACCTTGAAAATGGGCCTACAGCCACACACATACAACACTCAAACAATAAAAATAAAAAAAAAAAAGGCTATTTTCATCTCATCAAACTGTTTATACATTGCACCCTTAATCTCACAGCTTAACATGGGCGTGGCCATTTTGAATGCCAGTGAGCATAGCAGGAAAGACGTATTGGATGATAACATAGTTTGTGGGTTAGTTTACGGGTCCGGGACAAATGAAGCTGAACTATATGTACTTGCAGTCATGATAGTGTTCACGATACCCAGCACCAATAAGTTTACATGTTAGACTAACGCTTTGTCTCTGAATAAATATAATATTGATGGCAATAAATAATCTCATTTACATTGAAGAGCAGCCCATACTAATCTGATCATTGTGAAGGGAAACTGCATGTAGCCAATGCAAGTGAAATGTAAACTATTTGATATTTAGAGCACTGAACAGTGTCATAATGGAGAGATAATAACGTTATCGGTGAAAGTGAAGACTATACTGGTTAACTGCTTGATGGGCATTTAGAAGTTGGAAGGTAACATAACAACGTATGGTATGGATTTACAACTTCTGTATTATTTACAACACGCCGTTTCTGGGCTACTTCTTGTGTTTTTAAAATTATCACGCATGTTCATGTGACCTTGAGCTTTAAACAATTTTCATGTCCTTGTTTGTAAACAGCTGAGTTGTATGTTACACAAGTGAGTGAGTGAGTTTAGTTTTACGCTGCACTCAGCAATATTTCAGCTATATGGTGGCGGTCTGTAAATAATCGAGTCTGGACCAGACAATCGAGTGATCAACAACATGAGCATCGATCTGCGCAATTGGGAACCGATGACAAGTGTCAATCAAGGCAGCGAACCTGACCACCCGATCCCGTTAGTCGCCTTTTACGACAATATTCTAACCCGGACCTTCACGGGTATGTTACACAAGTAATCACTAAAACATATGCATAAAACAAAATGTAATCACTAAATGTCACATATGCATAAAACAAAATGTTAATGTTATGTTTGAGTTATTCACGTCGGTCTTTCCTCCTCTGACTCGCTCTGATCTAACTAAGAATGCTCATTTAAAGTCCATGCTTTACTGGATTCATAACATCGACTTAATTATTGCCAAATGCAGGCGACACCCGGAAGGTATGAATGTCATTACAAATGGTAACTAGAATGTATATTTTACTGAAAATACAGAACTGAAATATATTTTTTAGTGTGTTTTATCCTAAGCTATGCAATATAAAAATTAACCTGTTAATTGATTACTTTTGGCGTTTAACACCAAAGTACCGATAATTGTCATGATATCACGTCGGTCTTCATCATAAATGGTCATATGGGTTGTATTCATTATGTCCTCATGACATAAAATTACGCTTGGGTACTAACCAAAGATCTAACTTTTCTTTTCAAGATCATGCTCACTTTTCACTTAAAAAAATACACAAATGATCCATCTACTTATGCTTTACTGGATTCATAACATCGATCGTTAATTATTGGCGTTTCAGAAAGTGCAGATGCCAAGTTTCGTACACAATGTTTTTTAATATGCTATTTTGTAAGAAACATTGCGATATCTTAGGTTTTGTAAATAAAGTCATTTTTGCCAAATTTGTGACAAAATGGATTTCTCGCCACCTACAAACCTAAAAGTGGATTTTACTTCAATGTCCTTTTGCGTTACTAATATTGCGTTAATATGTTACATATTGCGTTACAGGAAGGTTACATATTGCGTTAGACATGATTTTTGGGGTTGTACATGCCTCAAAAGTCTTTGTCCACTAATACACCAGGAAGGTGTGACATGATTTTTGAAAACTTTCCCTAAAAACCCAAATTATAGTGACGTGTACATTTTGTATTTGCTGTTATGCGATTACAGGGAAATACGTAAAGCTTTATGACCGATCATGAGTTCCCGATTTCCCAGAGCTCTTCTGTATTTATATTCTGATTGTTCGAGATTGTAGGCTAACAGGAAAAACAGCCAACTTCCCCGTTACATTCTAACTTTATAAACTTCGTGTCACTTGAAATGAAATATAATTTGGAATTGACAAACGAACAAAAATATTTAGGAAAGGTGTATTCGGCGTCGTGACATTCATAGGTAATTTGTAAACATAACGGTCAGTCGGCTGTGAGTTCAAACAGAGAGCACAGAGAAGAAGAACGTTTTGGCAGCAACAAGACACGGAAAGTGCTGTCGCTGTGTGGAGCAATTGTACACTACAGAACGCCGTTCTGTGGTTATTTCTGATGCTCATCCTTGCAACAGTGCATCACAATAATAATAGTGCACAAAACCAATTTGATGTAAAATTTATTCAACACATTAATAACCACTGTAAGAATATTGCACAAGAAGGAATGTGTCATTCAAACCTTTACAATCTGCCTAGACCACATAGTAGAAGTGCACAAGAAGGAATGTGTCATTAAAACCTTTACAATCTGCCTAGACCACATAGTAGAAGTGCACAAGAAGGAATGTGTCATTAAACAACCTTTACAATCTGCCTAGACCACATAGTAGAAGTGCACAAGAAGGAATGTGTCATTAAACAACCTTTACAATCTGCCTAGACCACATAGTAGAAGTTCACAGGAGCGGATGTGAGAACGACTGGACTGCTATCTAGGAAACGTGGACAATGCACTTATTGTATGTCAAATTACATATGATGTCCAACTGTCCTTTATCTAGCATTCTTGTTGACGTATTTACGTCCAGGAACGTCACGATATCCCTAATATTGAAGGCAAGTCCGGGAGAACGTCACGCTGAATGTTTGACCCGCGATGTTTTGAAGACACCATGACATTTGGGTTGGCACCATCCAGGTTGTTGTCGCAGAACTACGTCAAATCTGAAAAATACAATTCAACAATGGAGTCTTTGAACGGCATTTGGAAGTGATACACATATAGGCAGTAAGTTATGGACGTCAACTTCAAAATTTTCTAGGAACCTAATGATGGCGAATATACTCCGAAACGTCGTGTTCCTTAAATAAAGAAGCTGACATCCAGAAATGCTCGTCTTTAATGCAACAATCCATTATGATATACTTGCAAACAATAACAAAAAAATTATACTTCTTGTCAGGACATGATAGACATACGAGAATGATATGACACAGTTGTCATGGGAACATGTTGGTAGTACGTAGTAGTCTTTGCAGTAGAAGTAAGTATAAATATTTCATATGACAGTACATGAGGAGTGTGGGTTAGAATTAGTTCCATAAACCCCCAGGAAACACAGGTAGTCTGGTTGTTTGTGTATCAGGGAGAGGGATAGTGTTCATTCTGTCGGTCACTGGTTTGACATACCCAAATTCAATACAGCTTGATCGTTGTGGGCGTGTCTTAAATAATGGTGGCCCGCTACCTGCGAAAAAAGGTTTTTATTTTCAAACAAGTCACATTAAAACTGTTTTCTAAAATATGCTTGTCTCCATCAGTATAACCCAGGTATCCATGTCAAAATATTCACTGGCGAGATATTATGTCAGACCTATAACTATATTTATTTTCGAATACCTTGTTCAGTGGTCGTTAGCAGGATCACTGCCAATGGTGCACTTGAAAGTGTAAGTTCTCTCACAGCTGCCAGTACGGGGGTTGAACCCGGAGCCAGGAACGCAGGCCAAGACGTATGTGGTGCCATCCATGCAGTGGAAGAACTCCCCACAGCCCTCAGAACTTGGGTAATCTCCGTCCGTCCTTCCTCCACAGAAGCCGGTTCCAGGTGCGCTGGCAGGAGCTATAGGAGGTTTTACAATTGCTGACAAAACAGAATATGATGCCGTTTATGTCACAAATATATATGTTGCTAAGTGACCGAAATGTGATATTACCCAATGCAATTACGACAATGTATTTGACTCAAGTATGACTACTTACACGCAAAACGCATGCTTCTACAGAAATGACACGCTTGAGACTAAGCTATAAACAAATACATTAACTTCATGCGTTCACTAAGGTTATATATCTATACTACTCAAAGTTAAAGATCACCCGCGTTTTTCATTTGACTAAGTATAGAATGGCAGATTAACTGTTGTCACATGAAACAATAAAGTGGCCTTAATTTCTTTAGCAGCACTGATATCAAATATACATAAGTGACTTGTGGAACATGCTTACATAGAAAGCAGAATAACTATACATTAGCGCCAGCTCATTTACTCAGTAAATGTATGTGTACCATACACCGATGTGATTGACATATTCCACTCATATACAAACTGTATTGACTGAACCAACCACACACATCACTTAGGACTCTTCGTAAATCACAAGCAAACAATACTGGTACTGCAAATGATTTTATTGGCGTTAAATCGCAATCGTACATTCTTTGAAAAATATTGAGTCGTATGGCCTTGTAAATTACACTCGGAATGTTTAACTATTGCTAAGGGAGGAACATTTTAAGGTTTTACTCAGGCATTCTGTTAATTGAAATATATTGTTCTTGTTCTTCTTTTCGCAAAAAAATGTGTAGATTCTGAAATATGCTGAGATTGAGAAAACAAACCTTCTACAGGCTCTGAATCCATACAAAAGCCATACGACCAATTTTAACATTCAGTACTTACCACTATTAATATACACACAAAAATAAGAATCATTTGATATATAGCGATTATGGATATAATTGATTGTCAAGCAGATGCTCTGTATATATGGCGCTTCACTGGCTGTTGTTGAACCTCATCATCGTCTTTATGCGCATTCTGGCACGTTGGCAGGGAAGTCACAACTTCCGCCTGCCGCGCTGTAGACGGTGCCGCTGGCGCACTGCATCCTGTTTGTCTGGCCTCCTGCGCAGTTGTAATAGTAGCCACAGTCGGTGGAATCAGCGTAGAGGCCGTCAGCCTTGCCGTCACAGAAACCCCCATCCCCTGAAACTAAAAGGAGTACAAAATCAGGCTCCGTCACACATAGTCCGTAGTTGAATTTAACTAAATAGCAGGGTTGTTCTCACTTAAAATGTTCTTAATAGAAGACAACAATCTGGTATAAACTTGTTTTAGTTTTTATCTTTTATAAAGAATCAAATAGCTCAATGAAAAGAAACCGAGCGAAAATACGATATTCGTTAATCAGAGTAGACTTTTTTCTTCGAATTTAGCAAAAGCATTAAAGCAGACAAAATAACGCAAGCAAAACTAAGCAAAGTCTAGTTCAGATGAGTTTAGATATGCTCAGTTAGCCAGAATAATACGCTGTGGAGAATGGAAGGAAGTGCAGTTTTACCTTGTCATAAGCTGATGACGATGTGGAACTCTACCTGAGTCAATTACCTGTATATTGCTTAGAAGCAGGTGGTCAGTTGTCAGCTGTATTGAGTCGGATAAATACGGAGGTGTAATTACAATATTACATATTATATCTATGTCTAACACGAGAAAGGGTTATATACTTTTTATTTCGTTTTATCACAACAATACAAATATAATGATATAATGGTTAAGAAATACGAGCGTCCAGATTACTGACAGCTCTTTGATGGTGTTTGGTAATTCCAAGATAGTATCGTGACAGATTCTGCTGAATACCGAATCTCTGTGAAATAGTACAACGCTCTATCATTCAAGGCTATTGGTACGTTCGTACACAGACTTGGGAACAATACTATTTTTTGAGAGAGTGGTATTTTATACCGTACCGATCAGTATTTCAGCTAAAGCACGCCGTGTCAGCTGAACGTGAGGTAACAGTGAGACCAATACCGATTTGAGGAAGCCAACGAGTCCAAATTCGGTGCTGTCAGACCACGGAAAATAATCAAAATAATTAGGAGATTCGCACCAACGACACGTATCCTGCTACGGGTGAAACGAAACATCCAAAACGCGTGATTTGCAGTAAGATAATTGCCATGATGATGAAATATACAAACAGTTTTCAAAATTGTTATCTTCATCAAGTCAGTTCATGCTTCTTATGAAATCTAAGACCTACTTCTAAGAAATGTAAGTCCGGGGATGTTACTCCTTTAGACTTGAGACAATTTATGGGTCACGATTTGAACTTTCGACAGGGGTAAGATCTTCTGATTCATTGTGATATATTGCTTTTGAAGTATGTTTCAGAACGTCTTACAATTCAAATACTATCACCAAGGATGAAGTTACAATATTCTGAATAATGATCTCTTCTGTGTGTTATGCGAGTAACCTAAGTGATCATTCCTGCTATAGCCTTTTAAATTATAGGCATGAAGCATCCATACATGTTGCCGGCACAACAGATAAATGGTCCAATCATTGCCCGCATTTGGGTGCATTCTGGGCAGTATCGCAGCCTTTCGTGGTGGGATTGTACACTGTTCCCAAGGCACAGGGCATCACATAGGTGTTAGAACTAAGACAGTCTATAAACTTCTTGCAATTCGTGGGATCGGCGTATCTGCCGTCGGCCATTCCGTTGCAGAAATTGGATACTGGCGTCGAGCGTCTTGGAGGTTGAGCTTGAGGTTGTGCTTGAGGTTGTGGTCGAGGCTGTGCCTGAGTTTGTGCCTGAGTTTGTACCCGAGGTTCAGCTGGATATAGAGCTTGATATTGTGTTTGATACGGTGCTTGATAAGGTGCTTGATACGGTGCTTGATACGGTGCTTGATACCGTGATTGGGTCTGAGCCTGAGGATGATCTGAAGCATATGGAAGGCAAATAAATATTTCAAATATGACATTAATTTTGATTTCATTACTAAAATTAACAGAAAGTATCCTTTAGCATACATCTTTGAGAAAAAGGCTACGTTGATGTAAAACTTCCAGTTGAATATTCACTGATGCAGCTCACGTTTATCAAACTTCGTTATCAAGAAAATACAAATAGGTTTAGATGACACAACACAGAGTTACATAGCACTTTAAACAAGTTGTTACACCACAACCACATCTACACTGGTTACCCTTTGTAATAGTTATTGTTATAGTGCACAAACATTGAATTTACCTTTCTAGGACGATGTTAGTATATGTGCAGACTGTCCTGAAATGGCGATGATCCATCATCTCTGATGACTCTATTCAAGCCTTCAGCTGGTCGTGTACTGTTTATATTTACAGTTTCAACTGTTTGTACATGCCATAAGGGTAATGACATGTTATTTTGTCATTTGATAGCAAAAAAGAAACATACCAGCATAATTGTGAAACATATATTCCTCGAGAGTCTCACATTACAGGAGTCCGTCAAAGCACATTCTGAAGTAGGGAAAACTACCCTCGGAAATTACAATAAATCGGATTGAAACTGTTTTTACAAAGACGAACTTTTGCAGCCGTTTGAAATAATAAAGTTGACATTTTCGTCATTTGTATCCAATGAGCTTTTATAGAACAAAATCGTTGACAGAACTCAGTTTGGAAGTATTTGATCTAAGCAAGTATTTAAATTTTGACTTGATCTGAGATGATGAGAATCGGCAGTATTAAGAATTATTATAAAGCGTCAATTTGTTACGCGTTGGGGGGTTACATATACTTGCCACATGCCCCAGCATGACAACAGTCTGGTATAGGAATGTACGCCACTGACAACCAGTGAAACCAATGGACATAAGATAACATTGTTAAACATAATGTTAAAGTATGACCAGAAATTAGTAAGAATGTAAAGACTGTAATTCAAAAAAAATAAATTCACTCATTACTCACGTATTAAAAGTGAATATTAGCAGAACATAACTCCAGATTCAAAGGCAGGTGAACAGTTAGTATTTTGTCAAGTCACCATGGGCAGCAATGCAGGGTTCAATGCGGCGGGGCATACTACTGATCAAAGAAGTTAGAAAGTCGTGGTCCATGCTGTCCCAATATCGGACCGCCTCTTCTTTCATTTCAGCAATATTTGTCAGATTTTTCTTATTGACACTTCCTTTTTCTATTGGATATAGGTCAGGGCTATAGCTTGGCCAATCTAATAATGTCATATTTTGGGTCCGAAACCAGGCCTGTGAATGTTTTGAACGATGTTTTGGGTCGTTGTCCTGCTGGAAAATCCAAAAATTTCCATAGAACACGTGAACAGATGGAAGTAAATGTCCCCCGAGAATATCTGTGTACCGCTCACTGATCATATTCCCTTCAACTACACAGAAGGGCGTTGCCCCTAACACAGATATGCCACCCCACACGTTAAATTTCGGACTGTACTTTAGGCGCTGATACAAGGTTTTTCAGTTTGTTTGGTCCAGAATTTCAGTGTATTAGGAAACAGCCACACAGAACTTTCATCTGAGAAAATCACATTGTCCCAGTTTAAATTTCTATGCTGTAAGCACCAGTTCAACCTTCGCTCCTTTTGTTCAGGTTTCATGATCGGTGATGGAATTCAGCCACAGTTCCTCTATCAATCATATCCAGCCTTAAGTTTTCTAAACTCCTTCGTTTGTTTTTAGAAACAAGAATACCAAGCCGCCTCATGTCACCGACAGTCAATTTTCTGGGCCTACCTGCGCCTCCCTCTATGCCATATTCATTTGCAATATTTTTCAAAACACGATAAACAGTGGACAGAGGGATGCCTGTTCTACTTGAAATCACTTTACCTGATCTGATGTCCTTGTTATAATACTCTAAAATCAACTTCGTCTTCTCTAAATCATCCATACTGAGGATCATTGAAAATGTCGTCTGCTAGCAAGTAAACAAAGGGGGATAACTCTTCACAAACTAATGGAAAAGGATTAACGGAATTGTCTCTCATGAATGAAACCAAGCACTTGATAGCTGGTCAAGGTTGTTTATACTAGAAATCCAATTAAACATATTCCTAAAATTCTCAATAATTTCTGGTCATACTATAGTATCAGTGACTAACCCAAGCACGACAAGGCATCAAGGACACACACTAGGCCTCACGTACACAACCACTATATGTAGACTATAATATACTCGTAACAGTCATTTCTAAATACCCTGAATCATTGAATGCATTCGATACTTCCAGTCAGAATAATCAAGAGGTGCCGACTGCCACAATACTGGAACAAAGGGTGCAACGAGTTATGCATAACGAACTCTTGAAGATTTCTCTCACACAATAAAAATAAAAAATAAAATGTAAACACCTTGGGCTTTTGTCCAACATAGCATTGAATGATACTGAAACGTTTGGCAATAGCAGGGGTATTGTTTTAATTTTTTTCCTGTTGTTTGTCTTCCAAGCAAAGTTCAACTCTCGTTGACACGTGTCATGCAATGAAGTCATGAGATTGTTATATTCAGAGCGAGGATCATGGAGACAGACAGCAAGTGATAAAGCACGGAGCTAGCAACTACAAATACAGATAGACAATGTACGTTTACACAGAAATATGTACCATCAGCAACTTCAGCTACTACACCGTTGAAAACAAATTACCATGATATTTAGCACATCCTTGTAAACTGTTCATGTAACTATGCATACTTAATTTATGCTAAAAATGAAACGATTACATTTTAAAAATGGTAAGAGCCAATATATTAATATTTAAAAGGCCTCTTTACTTATAATTTAACGCAATTACCTGAATCATCACTGTGAGCACTTGTGGAAAGCTTTAGTCTACTTTTCTTGAAGGTATATGTGCAATGTAGTTGTAATGGTGTGTGTACGTACCGACAGGGTCACCTCCGGCTGGTGCTGCTGTTGTTGCTGCTGCTGCTGGTGCTTCAGCTGCAACAACGAGTGGGCATTTGTAATTATATGGCCAGTCGCAGTACTTCTTGCTGGGATTGTAGACCAAGCCTTTCCCACAGGAGTTCTTATAGGAAATGTGGTTGAGACAGGTAAAGAAAGTTTCGCAGGAAAGAGTGCTTGGGTAAAGACCATCGGGTTTCCCTCTGCAGTTGACTTCCGCTGGCTGGAACTTGTTCGTGTTACCCTCTGTTCCACGAACATCTCCCGTCAACTTGGGTACAGTATTAGCTGAGATAAACGATGTCCGCATGCCTAGACTTCCTGAGAAAGAAGGAGCTTGAGTTTGGGACAGCACGTGGTTTACCTTTGGTGACGTTCGGACATTTTGTTGAACGACAGTGCCAGGACGTGAAAAAGATTGGCTCGGGTAACCTCTTGAGTAGTTCGGGATATGGAACATCTGAACAGACTTCTGAACTGGAGCTGCCGGCTGTTCATATTGCTGTGCTGACTGGAGAAGGGAGATTAGTGACTGTGTGTATTGATGGAGGGTTTGGTAATCCGGAGTTGGATAGGGATTCACCACAGATGACTTTGGGTACCCTAGGTGAGTAGAACCAGTCGGCATTTGATATGGCTGCGAGGTACGAAGGTCCGACGAAGAAGGGGAGGGGCGTGGTTGATGGAGCGTCCCCGTTGTCATGCGATATGGCTGCCATTGCTGAGAAAATAACCCAGGATTTAAATATGGTTGTCGGGAAGAAGCGGGTGGTCTTTGGTATGGACGAGGAACTGATGAACTGATTGGTTGTGACGGCAAAACAGCTCCCATTCTCACTTCATATGGTTGATTCCATCGAAGATCTGGAACACCAGGTCTCCGTTGATTATTCGTTGAATGTTGGACGCTGGGTCCCGGTTGGAAGACTGTTCCTTGGGGCTTGCCATATGTGCGCCGACCTGATTGATCAGAGTATTGTTGCAGTGTCTGAAGAGCTGAGTACAGAGAGGCTGGTTTGGGAGTAGATACAGGTGATCCTTGATAAAGTTGCGATGGTTGAGAAGAGGATTTAGGGGTTTTCGGATTTGACCGTCCCACCGAAGCAGTCGAACGAGATGATGACCCTGATGCATGTTGACTGGATGGGCTTGAACTCGGGAACACTATGACAGGTTTACGGAGAGCTTAAAGAGGAAGCAACAGACATAAGGCATGAACAAGGTGCAAAGAAGTCTGTCTGTTCCTTATGATAAAGTATAAAATATAGAAAAACCTACGCGAGAGGATGTAGAACCGAAACAGATTTTGGAAAAAGACCAAAGAGTGGTGACGTTATGTCTATGGATGTTTCTAAGAAAATGTTTCATGATCTAACTGACAAAAGTCCATGGACAGAATTTAGAGTTTGTTTGAACGAATCCGTACATGGTATTAGCAATTTCACACATTACATTTCTTTACCATTTCATCGTAAGACGTGACTTAACTGATAATACATCTGAAGTATATTTCATTAACAAAACATGCGTGTTTTGGAGATATTATTGACCCATATGCATGGACAGATGTTATTTGCACCAAGAGTATAGAGATATATAGAGTGTACAAAGTAAAAATAGATGGAAATATAGAGAAAGAAACACGCTTGCAGAAGGGTTTGAAATATTTTTCAAGCTCAATGACATCTACAAAACTAAAAGAAACTATATAATCAATGTTGTAATATACAGTTGTATATAAAGGTTAGTTAGAATTTATAAATTGTTTTCGTTTAATTCATACAAATATGGTTTTTACTTGCGACTGTGGTGACATTTTGTGTGGTGAAACGAATATAGGCCAAAACCAACCATTTACGACAAATGAAATCCACACAATGGGCACTGTTACAACTTACTGGCGCCAGCATCAACTTGGGTGGCCGGTGATGGAGCACTGTAAGAAACATTCAACGCTGGTTAAAACCAGGACACAAGTAGATCTTAGAAGGTTGTGAGTGAGTGAGGGGGTGAGTGGGTGAGTGAGTGAGTGAGTGGGAGTGAGTGGGTGAGTGGGTGAGTGAGTGAGTGGGTGGGTTTTGGGTGGGTGAGTGAGTGAGTGAGTGAGTGAGTGAGTGATATCAAGGCCCGTGAGCTTAATGTCCGCGGAATGCCTAGTATAGTGCTGGCAAACATAAAATTCAAAGAAACCATCACATTTTCTGGCGTGTCCAGAGACGCAGCTGTGTAGAACGAATTGTTGCGCATTGCGGCCGATGTGGCTCCATTCGAGCAAGAATACAACTAGCAACCGCAAAGGTTATGTTGATATATAAGTGATGTTATGTTGATATTTCAGAGAGGGTGGGTTTTGTTAACGGCTACTCAAGGCATATATTTGCTTTTTGTTTGTTTGTCTTTTGACGCCACAGAAAACATTCTAGCTATGTTGCATTTGTTTGTAAATAATCGAGTCTGAACCAGGCAATCCTTGTGATCAACAGCATGAGAATTGATCTACACAACTGGAATACGATGACATGTGTCAACCAAGTCAGCAAGCCTGACCACCTGATCACGTTAGCTTGTTTACGACAAGCATGGGTTGCTGAAGACCAATTCTAGTGTGTGTAGAGTGAGAATAGGTTTACGCTGCACTCAGCAATGTTCAAGCTATATGGCGGCGGTCTGGAAATAATCGAGTCTGGACCAGCCAATCCACTGATCAACAGCATGAGCAACGATCTGCGCAACTGGGAGAACAATTGTAACCCGTTCATATATTTGCAGTGTGTTATTGAGAGTAAGTACTATGTAACTGCTTACGTCAAACCGCATTCATTGAAGATAGTATTCATCAGGGGAGAGGCTCCAGCACCGCAGGAATTGGTAAAGTCATCCAGGTCCAGAGCCCAGACCATCACTCCGCCATATCCGCTGTTCAAGGTGTACCTCACCTGACATGAAACATTAATTCAGAAACAAACAAAAAGACATGGACATCAATATCCTCCGCCAGAGTGTCATGTTCCTAGTTTGACCACTATAATTCTTCCTGCATATAGCGATACATAAGCTGCTAAATGAGAAAATCTGTCCCCATTTGGGGATACCGTGCACTAAGTCAAGAAACGCATGGCAAGGGCCATAACTCTGTAACAAATTGTAACACAGTTTCCGTTTACGAACTCCATCAAGGCATTCATGTCCTGAAACCACATACCAAATTTAGTTTCCCTGTCTATAACGGTTTCTGAGAAAATCTGCCCCCATTAGGGATACCCTGCACTAAGTCAAGAAACGCATAACTCAGTAACAAATTGTTACACGGTTTCCGTTTACGAACTCCATCAAGGCATTCATGTCCTGAAACTAAATTTGGTTTCCCTGTCTATAAACGGTTTTTTGAGAAAATCTGTCCCCATCATCCCTGACGGACGGACGGAAGGAGCTCAAACCTATATCCCCCTCCCTATTCGTGGCGGGTCATAATAACGAGTAACTGGTTTGGGTAATGTTTTGGAATTCCTAAGAAATATTTTTGCAATTGTAAAACCATCTTTACCTTTTCCCTCAGACTTTCTTCGTCGTCGTAACCGATCCACTGGTCTCCAGACACAATGTAGGGAACTTTCTGGGAGGCGATTCTGTGAACTGGGGTCCCGGCGTTTATCAGAGCACAGATCTTAACACAATCAATGACATAAAAACTTGTAAAAGAATAAATCAAAAACAAGAAGAAACCAACACAATATATAAAGATTTACACGCATAAATTCACACGAAATCTATTATGGGGGTAGGGTGGCGGGTCTGGGTTGATTGTTAAATTATTAAAGACTTGATACGTTCTTGGTTACTTTGTGGTGGTGGTGAGTGAGTGATTGAGTTTAGCTTTACGCTGCACTCCAGCTATATGGCGGCGGTCTGTAAATAATCGAGTCTAGACCAGACAATCCATTGGTCAACAGCATGAGCATCGATCTGCGCAACTGGGAACTGATGACATGTGTAACCAAGTCAGCGAGCATTACCAACCTATCCCGTTAGTCGAGGGGGTTAAACATTTTCATCAGATTGGGGCCATGTTCTTTTCGAAAGAGTCCCAAGCGCTCTCCATCCCCAGAATTTCAAATAATTCAATAATTAAAACTTCTTTTAAATAATCAATAATAATATGATTCATAATAATGACAAGGATGTGAAGTGCTGGCGTACTAAGAATCCATTATTTATGTTGGTTTAAAGCTGCTTTGAACAATATTCCAGAAACATCACGGTGTGTCAAACACAGGTGATACAGGTCTCGATTACCACTTCGGGAACACCGTGAACTAGGGTTACAGTACTGCTAAACCGAAAAACATAACCGGCGTGAAACGGGATTCGAATCCGTCGATTTTGGGTTGCTAGCTTACCCAAGGGACGCAACTCTGCACGTCGAATTGCGATACCTTAGACGACAAGGTCTAACGAGCCATTTTGACGTGTAAGATGTAGTTTTATCAGGGCAGATCCCTCATACAATTACAAAGAATTCATCTTGTTCATCCCAGTAAGGATGTTAACAATCCCAGATTGTAACACCCCAAAGTTTTATTGACTTGCATCAGTGAGAGTTCTTGATAATTACAAATTCCTCCCTGACAGGAATGTTTACAAACCTCGTAGTAGGACAGGAAACCAGCCTCCCTGGTGTATTGTCCTGCCGTTCCGCCCCCTTTAACGCTATCTCCAAGGCTGTTGAGAGTGGTGGACGTCAAAGTGAAAGTCCTTCCGTAAGTAGGGAGACCAAGCACAAGCTTGTCCTTGGGAAGACCGAGAGACTCCCAATACCGGGCTGCCCAATCCTGCGATATAGAGTAAACTACAGTTCTAACGCACTCGTTCTTTACACGAATTTCGTCTACAATGCACAGCAAAAGAGGTGAAATCTAAAATCGCCAGTTCGTTAGGAGCGTGTCCGTTATGAATGGAGTTCGAGACAAGGTTTTTTATATCTTATCTCACACATAAATGTCGCTTTCTGATTGGCTGAACGCTCTTCTATAATTTCCAATGGACCCCGCTTACAAGCGAGTAACATTTAAATTTACCCCGCTGTCAATGGCAACGCATTTGGTACTTCGTGGTGGTAATTCTTTATCTCGAATAAAATTGAATCACGTATGATGTACGGAAATTACAGATATTTTGCGATTGCAAATCGATGGAAGGGAGGTAACTCTAAATATGTTTTTCTTGTCAGCAAAATCTAGCGATGGCTACAAAAAGATTTGTGCCCGTGCTTCAAACAATTCAAAATTTACACTAAGGAGTTCGGTAAGATAAATACGTTGTTCACTGGTCCCTCGGGGCCCATGGATTGATGTACCCTCGATGTTTGTTTATGTTCTATGAGCCCGAAGGGTCAACAAACATCGAGGGTACATCAACCCATGCCCCTCTCGTGACCAGTAAACAACTAGTTGAAAGACTTCACAAAAACTTATCTATTAGTATTTCCGTTGAGTGATGCAGTGTCCATGGTCAGTTTAAGAATCAATTAAGAATCCAGGTTCTGTTTAGTTTATTTTAGCTATGTGTTGTGTTTTTCAGTGTATATTATTATAGTACGTATAATTTCGTTTGTCGGGGGTTACATGTTTTCAATCAAGTTCCGCGACTTTATCATAGCAAAGCATATTTGTACGGCACGTAATTATATGTTTTACTACTAAAATAAAAGTTTCACAGTGAAACACGATCACAGTGAAGAAATTATTTTTGCTGAACATACGACATTGAGGTAGGCCTGATCCCCTGTCTCGGATGGGTCGGCATACAGGGGACTGTTGTGTCCAGTGATGTTGTCCCAGCCGCCGTGCAGGTCATAGGTCATGATGTTGATGAAGTCGAGGGCGCTGATGCAGAAACAACATGCTTTAGTACAGAAGGCTGCACGGTTACGTGACATAGACTTTTGAATAAATTACACGGGTCAAACGCAGCGAGATTTTCAACCTCAACCTCATATGCCTCAGAGGAGATTCAAAGGCCATTGGACTGAATGACCTTTACAACGCGATACAAACAACACATTTGGGAATGAACAGACAGGATGATTAATATTACCACATCTGTCAGATGCTATTTATGATACAAAGAGTTGTTTCAAAACGTATCTAACGAGCGTATCTAATTGGTTGTTTCATAACCAGTCAAAGCGAACTCATCATTATGAAACAACTCGTTGTAAGGTAAACGGTACCTGACAGTTTTGGTCCGTGAAGGTCCGGGTTAGAATTGATCTTCAGCAACCCATGCTTGTCGTAAGAGGCGACAAACGGAATCGGGTGGTCAGGCTCGCTGACTGGGTTGACACATGTCATCGTATCCCAATTGCTCAGATCGATGTTCATGGTGCTGATCACTGGATTGTCTGGTCCAGACTCGATTATTTACAGATCGCCACCATATAGCTGGTATATTGCTGAGCGCGGCGTCAAACAAAACTCACTCACATTCTCACTCACGGGTGGGTGAACAAAGTAATCAGGTTTTTGTCAATACTTACGCTGCAGCTCCTGGGACGTCGTATCCGCTGTCGATGGTGGTCTTACCGGCAGCAACGGCAGCAGTTAGGAGCAGCCTTTCGTTTCCAGTTGCAGCTGCATCGGCATCGAATGCGGCGTTAAGTACCTAGAATGTGAAATAAGACCTCGCGAAACACGGTGTCACGTTCCTAGAATATAACAACACAATGAAATGAGACCCCACGAAACACGGTGTCAAGTACCTAGAATATAACCACACAATGAAATGAGACCCCACGAAACACGATGTCAAATACCTAGAATATAACAGCACAATGAAATGAGACCCCACGAAACACGATGTCAAATACCTAGAATATAACAGCACAATGAAATGAGACCCCACGAAACACGATGTCACGTACCTAGAATATTACAACACAATGAAGTGAGACCCAACGAAACACGATGTCACGTACCTAGACTATTACAACACAATGAAATGAGACCTGGCGAAGCATGCAGGTGCATGTTCCCGCTATAGAGTCACAATAGACAACTATAACAGTGTTACAGAGCGTGAGTAGTAGCAAACCTTCAGCAGCTCGATGAAGTTGTGCTTGTCTTCCGCTGGACTACCTCTGTTAGCTGGATACTCCCAGTCAAGATCAAGACCATCAAATCCTTGCTCACGGAGGAATGTAACTGAGGTGGTCGCAAATTCTTCCCTTGATACTGCTGCCCCTACCATGGCTGTGAATGGCTCTGAACCCATGTTCCACCCACCAACAGACAGCATTATTTTGGCATTTGGGTTTTGGGCTTTAACGTGGTCTTTCGTTCTCTCATACCTGGAAAGAAACTCTATTATGGGAGAACATGTATGGTCTACCTTCATCAACCGTGCCTCAGGGAATTCACCCACTGATCTACGTACAGCGGATGTTAACATCTCACAGTCTCTGGTGCACTGCATTCTTAAGGGTTAGGATGACACGGTTGAAAATACCAAACATAAAACTACAATGGATCTACCTGTTTTTTTATTAAGTCAAAATTATCTCTTTTGAAGGATGTTTCGTTGGCTGAAGAATATTTCAAGACAGGCACGACAATAGGGATAACATATAATATGTACAAGAATACTTTTCATAAAATTGGTGACAAGATTTCTTTAAGAAGATATCTTCAAGCACAGCCAAAGTCACAGGCAGCCATTAGTTACAGAACAATCACGTAATGAAATGGATATTAAAGTATGGTGCTTCTAGCTTCGTTTCAACGAGGACACACAAGTAACCTGCCAGTTCCTGTCAAAAAACAGCATTACACATAGGCTATTCTGTATAAGTAACTTGCTACAACAAAAATGACATTCCAGATGTTAGTACTGGGGAAGGAAGGGTTTCGCACCTGTTCGGTTTGTGTAGTCTCGTTTTTTTCATGAATTTGCTGTATGTTATAGAAATATTGGTACATGTTGTAAATACTTCCGAAATCAGGTATGAATTGTATATATGTACATAGTTCCACATCCTGGCATTACCAAACAATGTCCACAACGTCTACTTACATTCCCTTTGCCCAAGGCTCGGACATGTCGTTCCATTCGAAGGCGGCCAACATATTTCCATTCATTTTGGCGAAGGCATAGTTGATGTGGGTGCAGAGTCGAGGATCGATGTTTTCCGGGAAGAACTTGTAGGGTTCAGGGCGATACTGGGACCAGTTGGTGTAATAACACACCACTCGCTGGCATGTTTGAGCTAAAATATGATTCATACATAATGGCGTAAATTCTTAAATATTACTCCAATTACAACTCGTCTTAACACCCATTACAACTACATTTAGGAAATTTTGAACGTTGTCCTGTCAACAGAAGTATCGTTCAGGAATAAAGTATTTTACATGCTGCTTATCAGAATAAAAGCTGGAACCACCCAATGCTACAGCACTATAGGCATGTTATACCTATATGTCAGAATATGAGACTTGATTTGGGTGCTGTCCTGTCATGTTGACTCGGTTTCCAAAATGATTAAACTCACCGTAGGTTGAAGCAGCAAAACAAGCCAATACGAATACCAACGTTCTCATCTGAAAAGTATTTAAGAGTACTCAAGACAATCAACACTCGTTTGCTTACATCTTGTAGATATATGTCATGGTACCTTTCATTTTAAACTATCCTTTCATTGTCTATGAAAAATATAGAATGGAAGTATTATCGCTTTGAGAAGAGAGCAGAACAGAAATATAATATTGCATATACAACAAAAATACCTTTTCGTGTAAGTAGATTTAGGGATCACTCATGATGGGGTTGTATTTGAAACAATTTAATTTCTCCCATGTGCACCGAACAAACTTAAGTATGCATTCATTTTCATTATTACATATATAGTTTGACGTTAGGGTTATTTTCACTAAACAAACTATTCATTTTGCGCATATTTCTGCCCTCACTTACCAACGTTAAGCACTTGATATATATTAATATGATATTACCAACTTGCAATTGGATACTTACGGTTAGTGTTTAACGATCCAATGACACCGGTATGGGTATGTATTGCTAACTGTAAATCGAAAAGGAAAGTAATGATTGTACTAAACCGTGTATATATGTCAATAAATGCATAGAGTCTTACATGTCACCTTTACTGAATGCACGAGTGGATTTGCTTTACCGTCGCTTTCAGTCTGGCGTTTGCTTGCCTGAGAAGCTCTGGAATATGTACTACAAGTCCAGAAATGGGAATTGCCCCGGGTATAATAGTTGTCACAGATGCGTCAGATTAGGAAATGTACTCGATATGATGAAAAATTTCAAACGTTGACCAGTGAGTGAGTGAGTGAGTGAGTTTAGTTTTACGCCACACTCAGCAATATTCCAGCTATACGGCGGCGGTCTGTAAATAATCGAGTCTGGACCAGACAATCCAGTGATCAACAGCATGAGCATCGATCTGAGCAATTGGGAAGCAATGACATGTGTCAACCAAGTCAGAGAGCCTGACCACCCGATCCCGTTAGTCGCCTCTTACGACAAGCATAGTTGCCTTTTATGGCAAGTCAAACGTTGATCATATATGGACACCTTGATCAAACAACGTTCGAGCATGTGTCGCATGACGTTCTTTGAAATCTTCGTAAAACAGTATGTTTGAATGATCATCAAAACATTATCACCGTTCTGTTGCTGACAAACTTAACTTCTCTGCCTGTATGTCTTGAACTATGGTCGCACACCATCGTCGTTAAACGGGGGCCCCAAGCAGGCTGTCTCATTTCAGATTATCAAATTGATATTGCAATGATTGATGGCGGAGGTGTCAGAAATACGTTTATTTGAAACTGCTCTCAGCCGAAAGACAAATAAGCATTTTGCACTCGTGAATCGTGAGATTCATCTGATATAAATATAGATGAAAGCTTCAAGCCCTGTAGGTTTAAGTAAATCTGTGTAATCTGCTTTTTTTATTAGTCTTTAAAAACCAACTAAAGTAATGTTTAGCTAACACTTGGATACATGTAGTCCAAATAATGAAAGTTCAGATGACTTTAAAACAAACAATTGTAAAAGTTCTGATTTCATAAAAAAAACACGACAATCGTTAAAACCGGTGTAGATGTAATTGAATAGAATATTCTGTCCCCCGAAATGTTAGCGGACAATAATTTGGGAATCAGTTTTTACACCAAAAAAGATCTTCCATTGGATGTTCTGACAAATAACGTCTTATGAGCTATCAGTCCCGTTATCAGAAGCTGTAGCGATATATTTTCCCACTTAAAGCAAACTTACGAAACAATTAACAACATGTCGTCCTGAGTTAATTCAGATTCGTTAGTTAACTAAATATCTGTTAAAGGAATATTTGGACAGGATGTTTCTTTTCGACTGATGTCCGTACAGAGAAGCAGCGTGAACCATATGCTGCTGCAGATCTGTGAATGTTTTCTTAAATGATCTTGCGCTAATAAACATCGTGCTGAAACGAATGTATGATTTCTTATAAACCCATTGAGTCCAAGTCCACTAAATCCTTATCAGTCATATTCTCAAACAGCCACAATACTGTATTCTACCAATAATGCAACATAACTAGTTCTGAAACTATGTTGAAATTAAGATGTAAAAGGTACTACTGTCCTTGTTTTAATATAATATTCCTTCATATCGATACAAATAATTCTAAATATGGATACATCCCATTCCTTAGCTTACTAATATAATATAACGCTACAAATGAAAGTTGCCTTTCCAAACCATTTTGATAAGACGAACGAAATTAATTTAGTATCGATGATTATATTTTCACTATACCCTCAGTTGAATTTCTTATATGTTAACTCAATAGAATTATCGGGTCCTAGGTGTAAAAACCTAGTTCTTCCTTAAATATGAAGCTCCGCTGCTATACTTTAATTGTTTTCATTTTTGCCAAATGGCGCGAATTCAAATTTGATATTGCAGAGGAAGCTGAGAATGGAAATCGAGTGCAAAGTGATTCACTGACCGGGGCAATGTTGTACTATGAGCATTCACATAGTGGACGGAATTTCGCTCATTCTAAATGCACCTATTGTTTTTGTCATCTGTCGTGTATTCAATAACACGGGGGAATAAATGACAATAGCTAAGTAATAACTAATAGTTTTATAAAACCATTGTGTCTAGTATTTTCCTTCCTTTTTCCTGTTTCAAGTAATTAAACTGACACAAGGAAGTCCAAAATAACTTTGGTGTACCTTTTTTCTGTTTAAGCAGTATTAATCCGGATCCAAATGTTGTTTATTTAAACTCAGTGTACTTATAAACCAACTTTAAAAACCTACCAAAAGCTACAATTTGGCGAGCCCTCCTTAGCCCTCGTCAATAAAGTCTGTTGAATATACCAACTAATTCTAAAGTAAATGTCATGTAATAATTGCAATCCAGTATTCAAACACGTATAAAAGTCAGAGTTTACACGTTTGTTGGTACACTATGGAATAACAGATCAGTCGTCCTTACCTGCCAGTGAGCCCGAGGTTCCCCTTCTCTGATAAGCTATCGACAAGTTGAAGCTTTATAGGCTTTTCCTGTTGGCATTAACCCTTACATTTCTCATGAAAATCAAATTTTATTTGCTAAAAACGGGTAGGGAATTTTATTGCATCTCTTCTGAGCAAGACTCGTCTCACGTTGGCACGTATGTGTGTCGATCACCTTCTCACAATATTTGAACAAAGACTCGTGAAATATATCATTGAAGAGTATTCTGGCATTTATTGGAAACATTAATTTTTCGCTCACCAAATTAGATCACTGAACAGTCTTAAAAGGTATCGAAGCTAAATAAATAGAATATAAAATGAAAGATATATAGCTAGAGCTTTAGGGGAAAGTAAAAATCTCTTTAAACGGGGAAGTAAGCAGACATATTAAGCACTTAAGGACATACAAAAGCCATACCCTAATGAAGGCTATTCTGTGTCGTCAGCAGTTCACGGAACTAACCGACTATCGTCAACGTTCGTGACGGCATACTCTTGTTTAGTGCCACGATTACGTATAATACTTTAATCACTGCTTATGTGTTTGTTGCATAAAGATTAAGGAAATATTGACACACTACCTTGATAGTGAACTGATATGAAACAAAGCCACGAGTATGACAATCCACAGACGCTTCGATCATTAAACGGTATGTCATCAATGCAATGACAGCTGCCTAGGAGGGCGTACAGGTAGCTCCAACTTCTTGCTGATATGATGCCAGATATGGGATAAAGGGACATTAACTTGGTTTACTGCTGTAATTGTCATATAAGCTTTTCACCAAATAATTGCGTATATAAGTCAGTTCCATATGACAAAGTTCTCCACACCCCAGCACATATATACTTCCACATGCATAAAGGGCATATGTACATATGTGTGTAAGCATTACCTACATACAAACTAGAGTCCAGATATAGGTAGTGGCCCAAACTCCTTTATACATAACACTGACTGACTGACTGAGTTTGGTTTTACGCCGCTTTTAGCAATATTCCAGCAACATCACGGCGGGGGACACCAGAAATGGGCTTCACACATTGTGCCCATGTGGGGATTCGAACCCGGGTCTTCGGCGTGACGAGCCAACGCTTTAACCATTAGGCTACCCCACCGCCCCTTTATACATAACACATTTATCACATCCTAATTTGTTACATTTATCTAAAGAGGAGCATTTATTAAGAGACGAATATTTTCTATATCGGTGTTTTTGTGTTCGATGGTCGAGCGTGTCATGCACCTTGTACCTTGTTATGAGTTTTTATGATATCGAACTGGATTGTGAAGGTGGAACATTTAACTGTCATAATTTCTTATGATACACATTATGCTAACAATGTGGATCGTGTGTTTATGTCACCTGTCAATTATAGGGCTGTGTATTGGCAAATAGATTGTATTGCAATATATTGCGATTCAGATACCCATATTGCGATACGTATTGCAATATATTGCGATTCAGGTACCCATATTGCGATACGTATTGCGATATATTGGGACTTCAGTGTTTGACAGTGAGTGACACTAATTGTGCATGTCAATCGTATTTTCTACATTATAAATCCTTAAACATATATGTCATGGTTCTGATAACAGCAGCCTCAAAATCAGGTTGCATAGTTAGGGATTCAATTTTCTTTTCTGTACAATTTATAGCATTGTAGTATGCCGTTTTGTCATTGATTAACGAAGGAAAAGATTTGTTGTGAATGAAAGTGTGTAGATTTTAATCTAAGCCATAAAGATAATCCCAAACACCTCATATATGTTCTTTACCCAATATACCGGTTCTCAGAAAAAAATACGTATCGTTTGAAAAGCGTATTCCGATAAATCGTTATACTGGTAATACTGTGCAGCCCTAGTCAATTACAAAATAATACAATTGCAAACACTCAATTCTAATTTATTGTATGGATAAATTATGATAATATTTTCCTGGTAATGCTTGTCATCAAAGAGAAATTAGACGAATCAGTGACATGCATCTTGTGCACATCCATCTTAGACTCAGAAGCTATTTGTCACCCCTCATATGAAGAATTACGTCTTTGCACTTTGATCAGAAAGCGAACAGCAAATGAACAAGCGGCGTCATAAATGATACAACACAAGTAACATTTTATCAACTGACAGGTTAATATGAGTAGTCCAATATACCTGGCACCATACCTGACAACTAGGTTTTACCAAGTGTATTTCCATACAATTTGTGCATGCACAGAACGTCAGGTCGACTTTAAAGAAATGTGTCAATGGTTGTACCGAGATGAATAAATCAATTGCACATTAAAGTCGAACTAGTTTCACAATGGTAATGCTTTTCAAAGAACAATTCACCGCCTTCTTGAGGACAACATGACAGTACATGTTAAGTCCTTGTATTTTAGGTTAACACGCTTCTGATGCATGGCCATTGGCTTCGGAACACGCGTTCGCACATGACATTGCAATGAAATACACCCATGACTGCAGTGACAGTGTTTCGCAACATTCTTGAGGAACCTCTGTTTGTACAGTACAGGAATATTGTAATAGACACACTTTTGGGGGTTTTGTACTGAAAACACGACGGAAGCTGGGTGGGCGAGGGGTGTGGTGATGGCACACGATCACTGATGAAGGAACAGAAAATGAATATATTTGGTACGAAGGAGATTGATCATGTTAAGTAATGAGACAATAGTTTGCTGTTGGGATGAGGGGAGGTCAACTGGGCTTTAATGTTGCGGTCAAGAATATTGCATTCACACAGCGTGTGGACGTGAACATTCGTACGTATGTGTCTGCATCTATGTTCGTTAGCATGCTTATGTGTGTGTGTTTGCCTCTCTCTCTCTATCTCTCCCGATCTCTCTCGCTCGCTCTCTCTTTCGCTCTCTCTCTCTCACTTTCTCTCTCTCGCTCTGTGTGTATGTCTGTGTGTGTGTGTCTCTCTGTGTGCATGCGTGTTTGGGTGGGTTGGTCCGTGCGGTAATTCCGGTTAAGTGTTTGTGCCTCTGATTGCGCTAGCCGGTCTCAGCAGCGTGCCGGTCTCACCAGGCATGGCAAAAACAAGTACAGCCCTTTAACGTCTTTCGACATGATGTGTTTGGGGATAAAAACACCTGTGCAAGGCATAGTGCATGCCATTCCATGGCATCTTCTAGGTATTTAACATTAAATATGAGCCTGTCAGTTGTTGTGGTGTTAGGCGCTGTTCTAAATAAATACCCCTGTCAACGTCCAAGCCGAGGCTGTCTGTATAGTTCATATGCACTGTCGTGTTGGTTGCAGGTAATTCATCACTGGTCTCCAGTTTATGGGCACAGCTGCTAAAGTTTTAACTTGAATCTCTTCTCTTCAACATACATAATGTGAAATGTGACGTGTGTTATGCACCTGTACACGTATTGGCAATAAAAGACGCCTCACATAGGGTCCCTTTAGTTAAATAATTAAAAGATATACAAATAAAATTAAACGTACTCCACTATCGTCTTTACTGTTACTTATCCACACGACACAATATGTCACCCTCTGACACACACTCATTCTACCTAAGTCTGTTGCCTATGTGGTGAGCAAATTCACCATCCGTATTTTGGTGGTTCTATGCAATTTCAATTTAGGAGACCACATCTACTGCAATTAATTGTTAGTGAAAATAAGAGAATGAGTTTTTTTAAAGTATTCTATTTATATCAGGGCGTGTGAGCTTAACAAAACCAGAGGTTATTCACATAGTAGACGTTTACGAAAATAGGTCAACTATGACATCAACGTCAGAAGTAAATGTCGTTTATCTGCCTTGACAGATTCTATAATGAAATTGTGTTGTTGTTGCTTTCGGTTTCGTTTTTATTGTTCCCAGTTCAAATTTTTGAGAGTTTGTAAGACAGAATTCGAAATTACACAAAAATTCACATTTTAGGGTTCACAATTACGTACCGAGTATAGAGTATAGCTTTATTGTTAAGTTGTGAATGTAGATCGCCATTTTGGGTCATGAGTTTGGAGGCTATAATTTTTTTAATTGTAATGAATTTTCCACATTGAAAATTTCTCTCAAAACATACAGGAACCTTTGAAGTTTTGGAGTATGTTCAATCCCACATGAATGGATATATTTTTTGATAGTTAGGACAATATGATTTAATAGTCTATCACTGTATAGTGTTCCAAACCAAACAAGGTATTTTGTTAGTTTAATTGTATTTTCTATATGATTATTCATCCAAACTTCCAAACAAGTTCATTCCAGAATATTTGTGTTTCTCTATAATGAAGAAAGTTCACTAATGAATATAAGAAAGAGAATTATATGAATGGATGAATGATAACGGTCATGACACAAGGTTTTGACCAACCAGTAACGCCCGCTACCTAACACGCTTGCATAAGTTGTATTGAGTTCCTATATTGGATGCTTATATGCATCTAGAAAACGGAGGATACAGATTGTTTCAACCATGTGTGGAATTGAACCCGGATCGTTGACGTGACAATCGCATGATCTGTGTACTGAGCTGCCCCATCCATTTCTGTATCTTTGATGCCTTTGTTGCTTTTGGTGCGCGTGTTGCCCTGTTTTATTGTGTAATATTTAGATGTGTCCTTACACTAAAAGTGATATTTTCAAAATGAGCTACGCTGAACGACACTACAATACCCTACTATAAGCCACACGCCACGCCACGTCGCGCCACGCCACGCTATAGCAAAGATCAGAGTAGGACAATTCAGTAACGACGCCATAAGGACGCTATGTACAGCCAAGTAGCGATAGTATACAGTACATACTACAGGGATATGTCCACGGTTCAGACTGATACATCACGTACCAGTGCAGATGATACTTAATACGGCTGGGACAGTGCTGTGGTACAGTACGGCACTACAGTGCATTAACAACTGTTTGGTCTGTGGTACAAAACTAGATACAGAACAAGGCAGGTGGAGTGAAGTTCCCGTTAGCGCTGATCTTATGCAACATTTTTTTCAAGATTTGACCGCGCACCCAGATGATGCCACAATAAGATTACTATGTTAAAAACTAAACGCGGAGACTTTTTTACCACATACATTTTCCAATACACACACACATGTGTGTATGTAAGTGTGTGTCTGTTTATGTGTGTGTGTCTGTCCGCGTGTGTGTCTGTTTGTTTTGGAGGTGTGTGTGTGTGTGTGTGTGTGTGTGTGTGTGTGTGTGTGTGTGTGTGTGTGTGTGTGTGTGTGTGTGTGTGTGTGTGTGTGTGTGTGTGTGTACACGTTTCAAAGAGGCTAAGAGTAAGGTCATCCTCCTCATCGTCAAAGCATTTGACATTTGTATTGTTTATAGCAGACCATTATACAACACAATCATATGTCCCAGCAAAACATAAGCCACTTACCGGTTGTATCTCCAAAACGTGCCCGACAACATTTGAATCTCCCGAAAAGCCTGTAAGATTCTAAACTGGACGCCCTTCTTCCTAAGATCTCAAGAGCTTACGAGATGGGGGATGGACAGGCAATAAATCTCACAGCTTCTCAAGCGTGAGATAAATGGATGGATAGGTCTCATCACAAAGACAGACATAATCTTAGGGCTTGCGTAAATTTCAATAAAAATCTTATATTTGTAAATATGATCGTATGCATTTACGTTTATGGTGTACTGTAGTTCAACGGGAATCCATTTCTGTTTAATAATCACAAATAATGTGTCTTAGGGTTGCATGCACAATATTAATATGACAATAAATGTCTAGATGATGTCTCCAACACATATGTAATGCCAGGAGTTACGACAGGGAACACACAACAATGTCGTGTATAAATAAAACACATCAGGAAACGGCACTACATGCAGATATGACTGGGTTCAGGAGGCCTCCACGTGAACGCGCCCTTGTGAGTATGTGTCATTAGCAGGAAACCAGACAATGCAATTTTTTAGGTACAGGAATTCTACACCGAAACATTGAAAATGCAAACAACACGTTTTCCTGTATCGAAACATTTTGAAGACTTAGATAACTAGTATGTTAAATATTATCATATCACAAAAGTGCATGAAACGATGATTCAGTTCATAAGATCGTCAACTGTCACTAGGAAACATTGTTTTGTAAATTTGGAACATATTTATCAATACGGATACATTCCGTTAACCTATATAATTGTTTAAGCCGTAATATATTCACATCTGTTTCAAAACTGTAAAAGTCTACTACGGCACCCGATTTCAGAGGCGAGGACCGATTTTCGGCACGCTGGGGGATAATTTACATTGTGAAATTACAAAATAATTGTTATTCGTAATTTGATCATTTTTATGCAGATTCAACGACATTATCTTTTATATACCGAATTTTGTATACTTTGTAGAACATATAATCCATTAATTCAGTCATTAGTAATCAACCTTTCATGATCCAGGAGCGTATTCACTAACGGGATTTAGGTGATATGGACTGGTGCTTCATAAGACAGTTTTGCTCAGTATTGAAGAGAAACACTTTAACGAAAGAATCCCACGTAATTCGTAGCCAGACATGGTTTAATAGTGAGCAGATAGTGAGTTAGATACATTACAGCGTACCGTGTGTCCATCCTAACATGTACCCTCTGTGTGGGGACACAGAGGAGAGTGGAGAGTGACGTTGATTGACAGTGTTGTGTCGGGTGTTAGGTACAAGTCGTAATACTGAGACATTTCAGGCAGACTGACAACCTTAACTCTTCACAGTCCCGACACTTTGTGATCCTCTGAGAATACAGGATATCTGAGGCTATTTGAATTTGTAGGTTATCACTCTGACGCGAAGTGTGAATACATTACTTATTGTAGAACATGGTTTGAATCAAACTGGAACTTCTTAAACCGATCATAACTATGAAAAAAGGATATTCAGTAAACTAAAGAACTCAAAGGAATTACTTATGTTTGTTCTCGATATCCGTAGTTCGTTATATGCATTTCGACTACAAATATACAGCAAGAGGACGGGACCAAAAATACAGTGCGTTGTAAGCGTGTTCGTTGTAAACGTAGACACAAAGGATGTGCTCAGAGGTACAAAGGAGTGAGTGAGTGAGTTCAGTTTAATGCCGCTTTTTAGCAATATTCCAGCAATATCACGGCGGGAGACAGAAATGGGCTTCACACATTGTGCCTATGTGGAGTTACAAAGGATATATGTAGTCAAAGTTACAAAGGATATATAGTCGAAGTTATCAAGGATATAGTCAAAGTTACAAAGGATATAGTCAGTTACAAAGGATATAGTCAAAGTTACAAAGGATATAGTCAAAGTTACAAAGGATATATGTATATAGTCAAAGTTACAAAGGATATAGTCAGTTACAAAGGATATAGTCAAAGTTACAAAGGATATAGTCAAAGTTACAAAGGATATATGTAGTCAAAGTTACAAAGGATATAGTCAAAGTTACAAAGGATATAGTCAAAGTTACCAAGGATATAGTCAAAGTTACAAAGGATATATCAAAGGATATAGTCAAAGTTACAAAGGATATAGTCAAAGTTACAAAGGATATAGTCAAAGTTACAAAGGATATAGTCAAAGTTACAAGGGATATAGTCAAAGGGATATATAGTCAAAGTTACCAAGGATATAGTCAAAAGTTAAAGGATATAGTCAAAGTTACAAAGGATATAAAGTCAATATAGTCAGTTACAGTCAAGGATATAGTCAAAGGATATATAGTCAAAGTCAAAGTTACAAAGGATATAGTCAAAGTTACAAAGGATATAGTCAAAGTTACAAAGGATATATAGTCAAAGTTACCAAAGGATATAGTCAAAGTTACAAAGGATATAGTCAAAGTTACCAAGGATATAGTCAAAGTTACAAAGGATATAGTCAAAGTTACCAGGGATATAGTCAAAGTTACAAAGGGTAGAGACACTTGTTATACATATCTACCTACTTAGCTCTTTAACATGCGCCGACAATAATGCAGAAACCTGATCCGAAGTTTCTATTGCGAAACTGAAAGAACACTAGGGGTGAGAAAATATTTTTCGTTCCGTTACAAAACGCTTAGGGCCCTTCAAGAAAACTCATATGAAATTCAACTCTTTCACATGGCGCAACCCGTACATATGTGGAATTAATCCCACTTAGGTTTTAGCGCTCATTAACCTGTCATTAAACCAACCATGTCTTATAATAAGTGCTAATTCTATGTCAGACAAAAGCTTCGTGGCGTGCGTGACATCCCAAAAACACATCAGAATGTGAACGTCGGAAGTGATATGTTAAGACAGTTATGACTTACTTAACTTCCGAGTTTAGACATCTGTCTCAGCTCATGCCACTTGGCGGATCACAAGAAGGAGAAACTGTTTGTTTGCTGCCACGGAAGTTCGGGAATATAATGGGAATATGCTTAAAATATTCAATTATATCAAAAGGACATATCTATTGGAAAGGTAATTTTGTTCTGACCATGTACATCCCATTAACAAATTACACATGATTCCGTGAATTATTAGAGTGTAAGGAATCCATGAGTAAATGAAGGTTGATGCAAGAGCATCCTTCAGAACCATGCATCCCGATGCTTGACTGAATCATCATGTGGTCGGGGGTTTTATATTTAGGACTGATTTCATTCTACAAGCATGGCCTTGCGTTTCACTTCACATGCAATCGTGTTGCACTGAAATATTGCTGAAAGTGGTAAACTGAACCCACTTTAATTGCAGTGTTTTACAAATACAGTGCACCCTGGTTATAATGCCACCCTGGATATAATGCCATGTTTTTGCCAGAATAGATTTCATGCCCTTATGATACCCTGATTATAATGCCAAACTGGATATAATGTCATTTGTCAATGGTTTTTGGAACAAACGTAATTTCCCCCTGGTTATAATGCCAATTACACCTGCTGCATGTAGTATACATACCTATATATACCGACAATACACACAGAAACTGGGCGACAGAACCTGTGCCACATTACACAACAATGGGTCCTACAGAAGGGACTACACAATATTGCTGTAGTACCGAATTCATATCACATGATAGTCCTACCAAATACAAAATATATCTGAAAATAAATACATACACTTTGAATAAAAGCTGTAAAGCTATTTCCGAAGTCAAAATTAATCTCGACTAAAGGCCTTTTAACAACTCGGACTATTTCACAAGATGCGTTATTAATCACTATAAATGGTGATATCAGGGTTTCGCGAAAAGGTGAACACATCCCGTCACCCATCAATGCAAATAAATATTTACCTGTTAAAAAGCGGTAGCATATCGTACAAACATCATACACAAGAAACTATCAGTGCAGCAATGTTGTGATCATATGCATGAACAAAGAAACTAATATTTAGACAAGTAGATTACCTTCTTCAGACAGATGACGGAAACGTGGATTTTAAGCAGGTAGACACGACTCTTGCTCAGGAATCTCCAATATCACATATATATCTGAATGATACAGAACAGGATCTACCGTGAACAGACAGACTGTTACAGGTTAACAATTTCAGCATTAATCTGATGCACGGTACAGCCGTAGAAAGAGGAAGATTTATTACAACCTGCAGCTATTGTTGCATGTCACAGGGACCCAGTGTTATGTCTGTGTTGTAGAGGAAGAGCAGCACCATTGTCTCTACTACAGGTTATTTGAACAATGAAGCATCAGTTCACCTGACGCCCTGGTCAGATTGTTTAAGCCGTGGCTTGTGGCACCATGAAATTCTTAATATGCTTACCTTTTTAGAAAACATATCACTATTATCACATTCATACCATTGTTGAGAGCTGCTTTGCCCTTTACAAGGACTGAAATCTATTTCTGAGGATAGTCAAGATAACGAAGGGTATTCTTTGGTACTGGCGTTCTATGTATTATGTCGCTATGTCAGTGGCGATTGTGAGGTGAGTTGAGGTGAATGGGGTTTAACGTCGTACTTAAGAATAGTTCGCTCATATGACGACGTGCATGCGTGTGTGTGGCTGCTTGTACTAGCCCAGACTTAAGCTGTTTTTTAGTGCTAAGTCACTGCGATACCATGCCGATTACATTTCAGGCTCCACAACAAGCACCATATGTTAACGTCTTTTGGTATGACGCGGCCGGAGATCGAACGCGCGGCCTTCTGCTCTGCGGTTCAGTGGCGATTGTATTGATAGTTGTTGACCATGATACTTCGCATGAACATTGTCTTATTTTGATTCTCCATGAAATGAATTGCATCTAAAATCCATTTGATCGAAAAAAAAATCATTTTCAAGGAACTGATTGGAACAAATAACTTACTTCGGACTGTTGAAAAAGGTTTTCATTTTAAAAAATTAGGCGAACATTTTTTACACAATAAATCTGGCTATACAGACATAGCTGAAAGAAGCTATTCACATTTTTCAGCATTAAGAAGTGCAAATGTCTGTTTTGAGAATTTTCTGTTCTCGACAATTTACATTTTTCAAAATTTCACCCATCCTCTTCCCCCAACTCCCATCAGGAAGCTTGATGTCACACCATTAAGTCATGCTACTTCGTTGTTGCACATGACGTCATGGATTCACTTGTGTCGAAGGGGTTGTGTGATTTATGCCTTAGAATTGTGCTTTGGTCTTAAACGTTGCTACATATAAGTAATGTACTCTCCCAAAAGAGAAACGCATCATGAAAACAGCAATTTCATGTTGCAATGAATTAAAACGTGTTTCATTTTACAAAAGGTTTTGCTCTGTTTATGAGTCCTATGGTGTTTATGTTTTGAAACATCACAACAAAACGCACCATCCGTAAAATACCCGTATTTAACAGCATGATTTTCAATTTCGGCGTGTAGTGTCACAGAATACACACTTCACATGCAATGAACGTGAAAGTTGGGGATCAGATAGTCTCAATGATGGGTATAAAAGGTTGATCGCTGTCTGTCGATTATTCACTGTATTTGGAATATTGTTGACGAACGCAAAATGCCACGTCTAAGTGAAGCCAACCGTCATATCGCCATTGGTTTGCTTGAAGCTGGCCAGTCTCAACGTGCAGTTGCCCGACGCATGAATGTTCACCAAAGCACCATTTCACGGCTCTGGGAGAGATATCGCCGGCAGAATGCGGTAGCAGATGCCCCTCGTAGTGGGCGACTTCGAGCGACCACTGCGGCGCAGGATCGCTACATCCGGGTACATCACCTGCATCATCGAACAGCTACGGCGACCAGTACCGCTCGACGAATACCCGGATTGAGGAGGCTTTCTGCATAGATCGTCAGGAACAGGTTGAGATAGGCTGGTTTACGTGCCAGAAGACCTTATTTTGGCCCTGTGCTTCGACAACAACATTTTCGACATCGAGCTCAATGGTGCACCAACGTTCAGGCCTGGAACCTACCGAATTGGCGTAGAATCTGGTTCAGTGATGAATCACGATTTCTATTGGAACGACGCGATGGAAGAATGCGGGTGTACAGACGTCGACGTGAACGTTTCGCCGACGCTTGCGTTCCCCAGATGGACAGATTCGGCCGGACCAGTGTTATGATGTTGGGAGCGATCAAGGAGAAGTGATTTGGTGAAGATCCAGGGCAACCTGACAGCTCAACGGTACTGTGACGAAATCCTACGCCCACACCTCCTTCCAATCATTGATCGCCAGAGGGAGTTGTTTCAACAGGACAATGCCAGGCCCCACACAGCACGTCACACTAGAGACTTCCTCCAGAACCACAACATCAATGTGCTCCCCTGGCCCTCAAGATCACCGGACTTAAACCCGATCGAACATCTGTGGGATCGATGCCCTGGACAGAAGGTGCGACCCCGTAACCCTCAGCCCCAGACACTTCAGCAACTCGCACAGGCACTACAGGCAGAGTGGGCTGCGATTGGGCAACAGGAGATTCTGAGACTTATTCGTTCGATGCCGAGGCGATGCCGTGCAGTTCTGGATGCCCACGGTGGTCACACGAGGTATTGACTTCAGCGCCACCACACGTCTCCATGTGACACTCAAACTGACTTTCCTCGAGTTGGTGCCAAAGACGAATAAGTCCGCATTCCCAGTGTGCAATTTCGCTATATTTCATTGACTCATGAAGCCTACAAGATGTTTCAAAATAAACATAAAAATACAGTTGAAATTCCTATATGCGTTTCTTTTTGGGAGAGTATATTTCATAACGAACGATATTTTGTCACTGTCTACGTGACTAACGGGTTCCGGTGGTCAGACTCGCTGACTTGGCTGACATATGTCATCGTAACCCAATTCCGTCTATCGATGCTCATGATGTTAATCACTGTATTATCTGGTCCAGACTTGATTATTTACAGACCGCCGCCAGATACCCGTAATATTGTTGAGTGCGACGTAACCAACAACAACAACAACAACCCCAAAGACCACAAAACAGAAAATATTGTCTACGTCGATGCATTCCACCTGGAATGGAATATTATTTCATATACAGAGTGGAAGTGATGAAACCGCATTACCCCGCCTCTTTATGAATGTCAAATGTCCCATAAATCCTGAAAAAGACGCGACAGGCGTATAAACCTTGACATTAAACAGGGTTTACGTGATGTCCTCAGGAAAGGTCAGGACGACCTACATCTTCTTGGTCAATGGTCAACAAAACAGTCTTCAGTTCATATTCAGTTACATTACCTGATGACCCGATACCCCGCCTTTCCCATTGTTTGTGTGTACAGCAAGAATGTTTTCATCTCAGGCAGGTCAGGGGATAACCTGAATCAACGCCCTGTTACACACGAATCTTTCTGCAATGGGAACACACTTGTTTGCCTTCTCCCATATTTTTTTACAGGGTACAATGTTAAAGTTACTTCTCTCATTCGGAATTTTTATAATGAACTCAAATAAAAAAGTGTGATCAGGTAACTTCTATTTATCAATTGTGTGTTTGCGTAAATCCAATTTCTTTTAATAGTATCAATAGTATTGTTCTAAAGTTATGTTAAGTGGAGAAATATATCATTAAAGAAATTCAAAATATGACATTTAGGTTCTGTCTGGCAAGTTTTGTGTTCCTCGCTGAGTTATGGTGAAATGTGTTACCAGTGGCCTTCTCCGATGGGGGAAAGAGTTATGTCCCTTAGGCACAGACAGTTTATACCATTGCGGAATTTGTACAAACATTTCAGAGTACGTGAGAGGTATTGGGGAAGTAAACAGATGTTGCTCCAACGGCAAAGAAACGTTGGCCCATGTTGGCCCGATGGTCACAATTACATCCAACGTTGGGCCAACGTAAGTAACGACGTTGGCCCAACGTTAGCCATCTGGGGTAGCCGTCAGAATGCCATCTGGGGTATGATTATGGGTGTCGCTTTAACATATTTTTAGGTTTGTCACCTCAACCGTCCCGCGTGAATTTCACCAAAATCGTAAACGTCTTAGAAGTATATATTTCTTCTGTCAACAGCTGACCAGCCCTGATATTACTAAAACACTGCGATGCGATAAGGGGACGCAACCCTGAGCAGCGAATTGCATACTGGGTTTTTTCTGTTAACGCAGTGGAACCTATCATTTTGTCTTCAGCCACCACCTTGATTCAGTGATATACCGAACCTTTCTAGTGATGCATGATTGATGTTAGAAACACTCCATGACAATCAAGCAGAGTAACTGACCCAAATGTCTTTTTGTCAATGTGTCTGAGCGAGATGATACTAAAGGTATTAAATCAGTCACTATTTATTCCCAATGTTCACTGACCATCACGAGAGATCGATACGGTTTAGCATCGGTTGTATTGATCATACATTTCAATAATTGTATGATTATGATACAATACCAAAATATCCAAAATATCATTAAGATTCCTTTTTGAAGGATCATCTGTATAGCCGGATAAATAATGTATCATGTGTTATTGGTACGCTACAAGATATTTAAGCACGCATGGTGACTGGCGTAAAGTGGCTACAAGTGGGAAGCTTCGGTAAGGCGTAGCTTATATTTTCAACTTGAGTATACATGTCGACACCTGAATATAGCGCTAGCGCAATGGCTATATACAGACGATCGTTTTTCAGTGTAATTAATACAACTTATTCACGACCGCAAGTTAAAAACTGCATCCAATGCAATATTAACAATGCTAAGTTCAGGTTATTACATCTAATCTATTTGTCTATCTATCTGTCTATCTATCTATCTATCTATATATCTGTCTGTCTGTCTATCTGGCTATCTATCTATCTATCTGTCTGTCTGTCTGTCCGTCTGTCTGTCTATATATATATATTCATTCAATGTAATGATTCATTAAAATTATTTATCTCTGAGTGTCTTTAAATCTCGAAAAAGCAGCTTCAAGAGAAAGAACTATGACATCATACTTATAAATCATTATTGCCTTAGCGTTTTGAAAAGTAACGCTTTTGTTCATAACAGGAAGTGGAAAAGGGGCGAAACCTGTACTTAATCTGAATCACCATGAGACATAAAATTATCGCTATGACAGGTCGGCTGTCAGCTCACATGCTGTTCTAGGCTTACTTCACAATATGCTGCTTCCGTAGACCCAACGTGACAATGATAAATCACACATCAAAGACCGACCCCAAACCCGCCCATGACACAGTTGTCTGCCTGTGAATAAAGTATGAGGTCCCAGTATCACTGCTACATATAGGGGAAGTTTCAGAAGAGTGATTTTAACACCGTCAAGGGGTGTGTCAACTGATCCAAGATTTGACATGACAATGTTAACTGCTCCAGTGTTTCAATAAAGTGCGTGAGTGAATATGGTTTTACGCCGCTTTTAGCAATATTCCAGCAAAATCAAGGCGGGGACACCAGAAATGGGCTTCACACATTGTACCTACGTGGGGAATCGAACCCAGGTCTTCAGCGTGACGAGCGAACGCTTTAACCACTAGGCTACACCACCGCCCCGTTTCAATAAAGTCCTATATCACTTTGGGCGTTATTCCGATATAACTGTTACAATGTTCAGTGGGGATATTCTCTCTATCCTGGTAGGAGCTGTTTGAAGATAAAATTGGATTTTGTATTGAAGAGTTTTCCCAATAAAGTGAGTGAGTTTGGTTTTACGCCGCTTTTAGCAATATTCCAGCAATATCACGCGAGGGACACCAGAAAATGGGCTTCACACATTGTACCCATGTGGGGAATCGAACCCGTGTCTTCGGCGTGACGAGCGGACGCTTTAACCACTAGACTACTGCTCCTTTCCCAAAAGAAGAAGTGCACGCTGAACTATATATCTTAGACGAGATATAAGGCCCATCGTATCTCGAGCAATTACGTTAGGTGTGTGTTAGAAATCCTTGCAGTTTCTTACAGAAAGATCGTTGTTATATTTTCTAACATTCATATCCATATTCAGCGAAAGTCTTGCCCATAGACCACAAGGTAAAACAGGTATTTCCCATATATGAACAATAGTATCACTTGGGGCTTTCCTCCGTGATGTGAGCCCTCCGCCGTGATATTGATGGAACATTGCTAACGTGGCGTAAATCGTAACTCACTCACTCACTCCGTGTTGTCACTAACATCATCTTCAGTTGGGATATTCTCCCTAACATGGGAGTAACGAATGGAAACTGGATTTCAGTTAACAGAACTTTATTCGTCTATGTTCAGCACGTACAAGTCCTTTGTCTTGTCACATCATACACATTTGGTGCTTTATAATGTATATCTGACAGATGATGTTGATAGGGACACAATATGTTCGCTGATTATGTTACCGTTGTTACATACGTCTATCTGGCCGGGCTGATCCAGACTCGTTCCACATGAAGCACATATGTTATCACCCTAGGCAAACGACTTTCTTCGTAATGTGTCTCTATTCAGCCATCAACGAGGGATACCCGGTAGGATGAGATGGTAATGTGACTGATAGCCGGTTATCGCCTCACGAGCAGTTTGAGTCGTATACTCCGAAGGGAACTGAGAACGAAAATGGAACGGACACTGATCCGTTAACCTGACTGAATGACTGAGTTTAGTTTTAGGCCGCTTTTAGCAATATTCCAGCAATATCACGGCGGGGGGACACCAGAAATGGGCTTAACACATTGTGCCCATGTGGGGAATCGAACCCGGGTCTTCGGCGTGACGAGCCAACGCTTTAACCACTAGGCTACCCCACCGCCCCGATCCGTTAACTTGATCTAATGTAGATGTATTGCTATACACATTTCACTTTAGTACTGACGTATTACAATTATTGTCTGTATTATTATACTTCAAGGTCCTCCTAAAATTTACAGTTTGGGACAGGTACTGAGAGATGTCACTATTAAGCATCGTATATACATATATGATGACGCACAAAGGCCAAAAATAAACATAAAATATTACCTGTAATAAACATTATATGCACATATGTCGTGTTACGAATCAAGAAACATGCAGATTCAATATTATGATATGAAAATGTGAACACAGGGATATACATCCATTAATGTAACAACACTGCATGGTTTTGGTGTAGGTCAAATTGATTGTCTTCAATCGTTATCATTAACGCATTGTCATCGAAATCTTTCAAAACGTCTTCAATAACAGGACATACATGACTAGAGTGTTAGCATGTGCCAAACATGCGTGTTTCACGATGAATTATTCAACAGCTCCATTCAATATGCTTAGTAAAAGACTTCAGTTTCAAGAGCCTGCAGTTGCGTCGATTCAGGAAACACTGGGTTGATGGTGGAGCTGTATACAGGCGGGCTAGGGAAACTGTCATCATCAAGATCATCTTCATCCTGCTTTGGCTTCCGACACAACAACAGTATCCCACACAGTAGGCAAAACGCAGAACCAACTAACACAAGGTAGAGACCGGAAGAAAATGTCGAGTGTCCATCGGCTTCATACACTGCGTAAACAACCGCTCCGGCGAGACCAAGAACACCTGGAAAATACATAAGTAACGATAAGACATATGAGTGAGTGAGTTCAGTTTTACGCCGCACTCAGCAATATTCCAGCTATATGGCGGCGATCTGTACATACATGTAATCGAGTCTGGACCAGACAATCCAGTGATCAACACCATGAGCATCGATCTACGCAACTGGGATACGAGGGCATGTGTCAACCAAGTCAGCGAGCCTGACCATCCGACTCCGTCAGTCGCATCTTACGACAAGCATGGGTTACTGAAGATCAATCTAAACTGGTATTTTCACGGGTTACAATCGGACTAGAGCTACGTCTTTAGGAGTGTGAGAAACCTATGGACGTATCTTGATGACATGCATATGTTTTCATTATGGTTTGTCCACACCATTCTAATATTCATGGGTTTTACTAAATTGAAAACGCGTAAATCTGAATCACTCGGTTTTTCAACACAAAAGATGACAAGATGATGTAACTTCAATAATGTTCAATGACAGGTTGAAGTAAAATTATTCATAATGAAGATAACTTCTGACTCAAATAGCTACCTTAACCATAACCATTACATGTACATAAATCCGGTTGAACATTCTCTGTTTCCTCCAGGTGAGGTGAGGTGAAATTGGGTTTAACGTCGTGCTTGAGAATATTTCGCTCATATGACGACGTGCATGCGTGTGTATGTGTATGTGCGGCTGCTTGTACTAGCCCAGACTTAAGCTGGTTTTATAGTGCTAGCTCACTGAGATACCATGCCGCAGTGAAGCATGAATACCCCACTCAGACACAGTATACTGACTCCGAGCCGACCAGTCCTTGTTGTACCCATTAATGCCGAGCGCCAGGCAGGGACCAACAAGTACCATATATTAACGTCTTTTGGTATGACGCGGTCGGGGATCGAACCCGCGACCTTCCGCTCTCCGGGCGGACGCTCTAACCACTACACCACGGAGGCGATCATTTCCGCCAGGATATGAGGATTATAATGTGTAGAATATGAAGGATATTGCATAGCAAGAGTTAATTGGTGTTCAGCAGTAGCATTATACATATTCCTATAACAATGACGCCTACTTTCGCAGTGTGCCACAAAGTGAGAATCATTCGCTGACATACACGGAAATCTAACCGCGTTTTGCACTGTGTAAGTATACCTTCAAGCAACAAAAGAAATAAAACCAGATCATCTCTATTTTCTCATATAGTCCGTTTGGCTCAAAATCGGACCGATGAATTGCAATCTAACTCGAAAACTCATAAACATATAATACTTAATGAAACGCTGATCATAATTAAAACGTCAGACCAACTCTGTGAGGTTTTTGCAGAATATATATCCTAAAAATAAAAAGTTGTATAACAAACTATCATTAAAATTGTGACACAGTTAACTATTTCTTACGAGGGAGGAGTGCAGAGAAAGGGACAGCCGGGTGTGCGAGAAAAGATGGAGACGGCACAGCACAGGATAATGAATCAATAACTTGGTGGGCACTTGTGCACGTGCTTCTCTAATACCTGGCTGACCCTTTCTCTGCACTCCTCCCTCGTAACAAATAGTGAACTGTGTCAAAATTTAAATGATAGTTTGTTAAACAACTATTTTAATTTTAGAACATAAATTCTGCAAACAAACCACAGAGTTGGTCTGATGTTTTGATTATAATCAGCGTTTCTTTGAGTATTATATGTTTATTAGTTTTCGAGTTACATTGCAATTCATCGGTCCGCTTTTGATCCAAACGGACTATAGTTCTACAAATAGGCTAACATCCAGAAAATCTCAAAATCTGTTATAAAAGGAGGTTGATTTGACATGACATAAAAACGTGTTCAGCAACATCACTGGCATGTGTACCACAATGGTTTTCTTCAGGTTGTATAGGAGATGATCCTTTATGCCTCGTAATGTCAGCAAGGTTTTCAGGATATGATTTAACACGTCTCCATAACCACAGTGCTCTACCGGATGTGATACAGACTGGCTGAGTGAGTATGGTTTTACGCCACTTTTAACAACATTACAGCAATATCACGACCGGCTACACCAGAAATGAGCGTCACACATTGAACCCAGACCTCCGGCGTGACGAGCGAAAGCTTTAACCACTAGGCTACCAACCGTCCCTCTGCTTCAGATGTATCTAAACAGTGATAATATGCCGTGCAGTTTACTTTCTATTACTAATGCATCATAGTGGCGCACATGCTACTACATGATAACGTTGCGTCATCAACAAGGCGTATACAGGGATATTGTCCCCATGAAAGATTACGTCCTCAAACAGAGTTGTTCAGCTGAGACAGTAGGTCATTAATAAAAAGCCAAGCAGATATGACACAGCCTTGTTCAACGCCTTGTTTTACCTGAAATTCGTCAGACATAAAGCCAGCATTAATAACAATTATCATCGCATGTCAGTCCAAATTCAATCCGGTAAACGAAAAAAAACTCATTTCGGGCAATTCGTAAAATCGAATATTTAAGCAAAACGGTAGAATTAATAAATGACATTATAAATATTTCCGACAATTGCGTTAGTACAGAATGTCATAAAGCGCCATGAAGAGTCTTAATTGGTATGGGTGCCAAGTCGTGGTAAGTATAGAGTCCCATGGGAACGAAAGAAAATTACGGTCGAGGGTTCGAATCCCGATTCGTTCCGAATATGGTCCTATGCTTGTGAGCATCATACATCACAGGTTTCACAACTGCAATAAGCGTGCGAGACTTGCATCACTTCGAAACTTCCACCACATCAAGATGGTATAATGTTAAAACTGGCAATAAATCCAACCCAATCATTCTTAATATGATATGACAGCTGAAATACGTTATTACTTAATAAACAGTGAATTAGAGCCTTGTTACGTAAAAACTCAAATAGCCAGTATTGTCCGAAGCATAGGATTACAGATATCATGAATAATTCATAAAACATTAATTTTCTGGGGCCAGAGAAGCCGTTGGGTTTTGGTATAGATTCCTTCGGATGTTTATTTTATAGTTTATTCAAGGATTACACTGTCATTGTATCTAATGCCGCAAACAGATGGAAGGAGTTTTACTGTATGTCCACAAATCCTTTATCATCTCATGACCATTACTGGAACCAATCCTTGTGATTCCGATCACCAGGTATACCAATAAAATATGCCCACTTTATTGACACATTGACAATGCAGTTAATATATGCACACAATAAATGTCAGTGTTGCCAATCACTTGTGTTACATTAATAGCTTGAAAATTGACATGCAATAAGGGATTGTTGTGTGAAAATAGCAATGGAATGTTTGAGTTCATCCGTGAGTTTACTGATCAAATATAAGGGACATTAACATGTGAGTAACATCTCCAACAACAAACAATGCCGGTTTTATGAAAACGGAGGATATGTAAACAGCCCTACCCGTACAGATACACAGAGCTGGGAGGCCGAGCCTGTCACAGCTGACGGCGTGGATGTTCCTCGAGGTACAGTTGAGTTCACACAAGATGACAAGACATATGCAGTAGCTGACAAGAGCGACGGCCTCCAACGCTCTCACAGCATCAAACCAACCTGAAACACACAATACATATTGCAAATCTAGTGCCACTATGTAGTGGATATAGTTTATACACACAGACATGAACATATAAATATGGCTTAAAGGAGTCCCAACAGACATACATACATACATACATACATACATACATACATACATACATACATACATACATACATACATACATACATACATACATACATACATACGCACGCACGCACGCACACACACACACATACATACATACATACATACATATATATATATACAGAGAAAGAAAGAGAGAGAGAAAGATAGATAGAAACATAGATAGGTAGATAGATAGAAACTAGAGAGATAGACTGTATTTAATACAATTATTAGTGTTATACATATATAGAGAGAGACATAAGATATATAATAATGAGTTATTAGTTATATATATATATGTATATATATTTGGTTTAAAGGAGTTAAATCTGTTGCGCTAGGCCTGGCGAGAATCTAGTTTTCCTTTTTCTCCTTTTAAGAAGTTCGACATGGCCGATTGCATATGGATTTGAATGTAACATGAAATGTTCTGTTTGAACGACTGAGTAATGTTTATTCGAAGAAACAGCTTAATGATAAAGAACTGCCATTATGGGAAGAACTGCTGCATGACCGTCGATAATAATTATATAACATTTTCAGGACACAGTACACTATCGAAGTATATATCACTGCGAGGCCAAGACAAACATTAAGTTTGTTTCCGGGCAATATTAGTTTAAAATCAGAATGAAGTATGAATACATCTTTTCAGAGATTACCGTTAATGGTTGCGAGAAGCAATGGGGACTCGGGCGACCTTGTCGTATAAAGGCACGTCATTTGCTATGCGGAGTTACTTCCCTTATTGTTCGCTCTGATAATTAGTCTAGGTTTGACAGCACCATTCCCTCGCTTGTGGGTTAACAAGGTATTAAACGTCTCAGACCTACATCATTGTCGATTCATTCTCCTGCAATGAGCTGACAGGCTGTCATATAAATGAAATACTGTCAAAAAGCAATATTACACTGAACTCAATCTCTCACCAAAACAAAATATTCCAGTAATAGCAAATAATGATGATAATTAATAAACGGATACCAAAACCAAAGATCCAAGATACCTTATACTTATATATATTATCCGTGCATGAAGGGTCAAATATGTGTTAATCCAGTATGATTTTGGTGCTATGATGTACGAGTGATTTAGAATTTTCTCATTCAAACATAAAAGAATGATACTTACATCTTCCGTCTAGATTTTTCATCATTAACATGGCCAAGTAATATTTTAATCACTCGGTTCTATATTAATTGTACACTTGCATTTTCATAAACCGACTCACCGGGGGATCCGCGTCTCGGACTCGAAGTAATCGTTTCAACGATGAGACACCAGGTGTTAATGCTTTATCCAATACGTGATAAAGTTTCGGTTTGGTTATGGTCGGCACATCGATCAATGTCATGAGGCGTGGTGTTCAAGGCCTTATTGTGTGTGTGTGTGTGTGTGTGTGTGTGTGTGTGTGTGTGTGTGTGTGTGTGTCTGTGTGTGTGTGTGTGTGTGTGTGTGTGTGTGTGTGTGTGTGTTTTTCCTCTTTGGAATCTCGTTCAGCTATCTTGCAACTATGCCGATCTGTAAATAATTGAATCTGGGCCACACAATCATGTGACTGACATCATGAGCATCAATCTCGTTAGTCGCCTCTTACGACAGGTGTGGGTTCCTGAAGACCAATTTAAAGACGCCCTTTTACGGGTGCTATATGAACAAGTCCCAATTGTTTATCCAAAAATATCAAAAAATGCTGAGAGTTTGACGACTGTGTTAGTAGTCAAAATCTACACTTTCATATACATACCCCCTCTCGAGTGTGTTGAGTAAGACTCACACTTGAAAAACTCGGTGCAGTTCTGCCACAATCCAGAAATAATATGTGCATCTCGTTTCCACGCCGGCAGGCCAAAGCCAATAACAAACTGAAGAAATCCGAGAACAATGCCACCACAAGCCAGTCTGTAGCTGCATGACTTTAAAACCCAGCCTTTCATTGCTGGTTGTCAGAGCTCATCGATATAAAGACATCGATATATATATCGTCATACATACAACACGTTTCATCACAGTACGGTGTTGTCCCTTTGAAACCCTTCATCGTTCATGCCACCATGCAACATCCTTGATACAGATGCAGGTTGGCTTGTATCATGCTGTATCGTTATCCATCATGACCCTAACACTTCAGTATGTCATGACATCAAAATAGGTCGATATGACATCCCATCTTCTGCATTTCAGCAAGGTTTCGCCTTAACACACTCATAGTTATCAGCTGCGTGGATGTCCTGGTATTAGCTGGATGACGTTCTTACGAAGGTTTGTAAACCACGACGGCAAAATTGACGTTGTCTACCGTGTTACAACTGCGCTGTATCAACAGACACTATGTCACCCCTACAGCACAGTTCATCATCACCTAGGTAAAGAGACTAGATTAAGTATGTGGGTATTCAATTAGATTCTCTGTAGAAGTAATGTCAATAAACGTACTGTGTCATACAGGGCGGTCTCCTTGACGCATGCAATTGCTGCTAGTGTAAAGAAATATCTAAAGGTAAAGTATATTTGCAGAGATGTTAAAGCCTCAACGCTCTTCCCTGTAGCTAAACACGGCCACAATGTCCTTTCTCCACACAACAGCTGTATGATAATATCTGAATCCGGTTATCACGAAATCTTCATTTTCGGGACCATTTTATTGTGTCGGGTGTCATATCTAGAAACGGTTAATGTCAATGTGTCATAGTGTGTCCATTAATCCATGAATGTATTTCATTGTGGGTGTTTGCCTCGGCCACTCCTGTCATGTATGACGAGCATGTCATTTTTCATGTCAAGTTACATGTCATTTTGCACACTGTGTTTCATTTATCATTATAATTAATAAAAATTAATAAACGTAGCAATATTAATTCCATAATCATAAAATGTCTGCTGAAAGAAGAGTCGATCCTACGATTCCGACAACAGTAAACTACGTTATAACGAGCTCCCCTGAAACAAACTGACGGATGTAACGAACGTTTTTGACCCGGTCACTTGCTGTACACTTTAGTTATGTAGTATAACAAACTACTGTTATAATGTTCTATACTTTAGTTATATAGTATAACAAACTACAGTTATAATGAACTATACTTTAGTTACTGTTATAAAGTACTATACTTTAGTTATATAGTATAACAAACTAGTTATAACGAAACATACTTTAGTTATATAGTATAACAAACTACTGACATAACAAACTATACTTTAGTTATAAAGAATAACAAACACTGCCATAACGTATTATACTTTAGTTACATAGTATAACAAACTACTGTTATATATAACGAACTAAACTTTAGTTACATAGTATAACAAACTACTGTTATAACGAACTATACTTTAGTTACATAGTATAACAAACTACTGTTATAACGAGCTATACTTTAGTTACATAGTATAACAAACTACTGAAATAACAAACTATACTTTAGTTATATAATATAACAAACACTGTCATAACGTACTATACTTTAGTTACATAGTATAACAAACTACTGTTATATATAACGAACTATACTTTAGTTACATAGTATAACAAACTACTGTTATAACGGGCTATACTTTAGTTACATAGAATAACAAAGTACTGTTATAACGAACTATACTTTAGTTACATAGTATAACAAACTACTGTTATAACGAACTATTCTTTAGTTACATAGTATAACAAACTACTGTTATAACGAACTGTACTTTAGTTACATAGTATAACAAACTACTGACATAACAAACTATACTTTAGTTATATAGTATAACAAACTACTGTTATAACGAACTATACTTTAGTTATATAATATAACAAAGTACTGTTATAACGAACTATACTTTAGATATAGTATAACAAAGTACTGTTATAACGAACTATACTTTAGTTACATAGTATAACAAACTACTGTTATAACGAACTATACTTTAGTTATATAGTATAACAAACTACTGTTATAACGAACCATACCTAGATATATAGTATAACAAACTACCGTTATAACGAACCAAAATGAGGAGTCCCTTTGAGTTCGGTATAACCATAGTTTACTCTGTATCATGAGCATGTGGGAATGTATCAGTGGTGACGATAAAGACATTTGTGACTCAGTGGTACACCATAGTACTTCTTTTGGTAATCAGCATTCGTTTCTACATCCGTAACTATTCTCTATAAACGGTAACACCCTGTTGGTAATCTGGGGAACATCCCGTCACTATGTGCTGCTTGTCTCAAGATTACACAGAACACGTGAAGATCCGGGTTAGAATTGGTCTTCAGGAAGCCATGCTTGTCGTAAGAAGCAACTAACGGGATCAGGTGATCAGGCTGTGTCATCGTATCCCAATTGCGTAGATCGATGCTCATGCTGTTGATCACTGGATCGTCTGGTCCAGACTCGATTATTTACAGACCGCCGCCATATAGCTGGAATATTGCTGAGTGTGGTGTAAAACAACGACCAAACCAAACCACACGATTACACAGCACCAGGTGGTCAACGCAAACGTAGTTTTAATAAACCGGTTTAAGCTGATCTACATGCAGTTACAGGAACAACAGACCACAGTCTTTCCGATGGTGGTTAAACAAAGAATATGTTGGATGTATGATCTAACAATCTGTAATAAATAGTCCATGACCAACGAGTATGTCCCTTACTAATTAATCAGCGAGAGAGAGAGAGAGAGAGAGAGAGAGAGAGAGAGAGAGAGAGAGAGAGAGAGAGAGAGAGAGAGAGAGAGAGAGAGAGAGAGAGAGAGAGAGAGAGAGAGAGAGAGAGAGAGAGAGAGAGAGAGAGAGAGAGAGAATAACTGTATGACGTGTGTTCTCTGAGTTACTGTGTGCGGGTGTTGAGTATACCGTTCTGTTTGGCACGATGACTCAGGACACGTCATCAGGCCTTTATTGTCTGGTTCAGACATGTTTACCATCCAACATGACGTAAGTAACGTATTTCCACCTTTCCTCCAATGTTCTGGTCGGCAGAACACGTCGACTTGGAGTTTGAAAGTTTATCGACTATTGTTGAAACATTCAACAGTGATATATTGGTACAGGCTTAATATAGAGTAAGGATTGTACATAATGATAAGGCCCCTTATATAGCGCCGTTATAACGAACTATACTTTAGTTATATAGTATAACAAACTACTGTTATAATGAACTATACTTTAGTTATATAGCATAAGTTATATGGAGCAAGTCCATGCTCTAAGGGCATACAACATAATGGATATTATTACCCCACATAGCCCATGCTGCCCATAAGGAGCTAGAATGTTAACGGTCATGTCTCTTATCCCACCACTGAGCATATATAAGAGCAATATTATGATATGTTCTGCCAGCGAATTAGTTAAATAATGCGAGTCCTGGGGTAATACTCTTATTTCTTGAACTGTCTGTATGCAGGCAATTTGTCTTCGTCCTCAGATAAAAGTTTCAATATTGCATATGTATTCACACGCAGTAACAAACCCAGAAGACGTCTTGGCTTCAATGCAAGTTTGCAAGGTATTAAACGTAATTAAAAGAGTGCTTAAGAATGATGTAACATGCATATATATTGAAAACGTGTAGTAAAGTGCACATGAAATAAGTACTGTAAGGGGCACAAGCATGAGCCACTTCTTACTTCAGAGCGTTCCAACAATCATAACGTAAGCAGTAAGGTAAATATATTCCTGCTCTGTTTTATTCTCCGCTCAGCCCAGTATGTATTCCAGGGACCACGGGGTAGCCTAGCAGTTAAAACGTTCGCTCGAAGACCCTGGTTCGATTCCCCATATGTGTACAATGTGGGAAGCCCATTTCTGGTGTCCCCGTCGTGATATTGCTGGAATATTGCTAAACCCGGCACAAGACCTCACTCACTCACTCACTCACTCACTCCTCGAAATGACCATATATGTGACAAAGTAGTTTCTGGCGCCTTTAGTCTTTCTCCAGAGATACGTCCCCATGATCTGTCAGAATCTTGTAATTGTTGGTTTAGATATGATCTTGGCTCATGGTTTGTCAGCACGACACACGTGCTCATCCAAGAGATTCCTTACTTCAGGCATTCCTTCCACATAACCTTCTATGATCTTCGAGGCGTGCTTCTGATGAGTCGACCAGTGTAACATGAAATCATTTTGTTTCAGTCATCAGTGAGCGCTGCACTGTGTGCATGGCGAGTGGTGGGTGATGTTGACGTACACATCTGCCAATGACGTCCCAGTTGTTATGAGGGGAACGGCCAGGAACGAGTGCTGGCCATGGCGTGACATTGATGTTTGGCCTTTGTTCATTATGCTATGAATGAAGGACGTTTGCCCAACACGTTGGGAAAATGACATCACGACATCAACGAGGTCCCGATAGAACTGACCTATGACTCGTGACATGGACAATATGCAGCGCACTACGTCCAGCCATTGTGCTACCATACCAGACCAGAACCCAGCATCAAGCTGCACAACCCGTAAGCCCTTAACGAGAGTGAACTTTAGTTCGGCAGAAAATATGACATTATCCTTACGTGAATTACCCAGTGCTGACCAATATTGCGTGACTGAATACTTTTACAATATTCCAGCAATATCACGGCGGGGGACACCAGAAATGGGCTTTACACATTGTACCCATGTGTGGAACCCATCCGGGATTTCGGCGTGATGAGCAAAAACTTCAATCACCGGGCTCTCCCACCGCCCCAAATGTATAAGGGAAGTCTGTCAAAACACACACTGGTGATCATACTGGACATCAGCTCTTATCTTACCTTCATGTGAAATATTTTAATTTCATTTATCAATGACGCTGTAACAAGTTTCCGTGTCACCCCTCCCAGGAGGGTGACAAATGGAAAAAATATAACCCGCCGCCACGGTAACCGCCAAACTCTCCACCGAGAAGCTATCGCTAACAATCGTTTGACGTCATAATATGACGCATGCAGTGTCCGGAGTTCGAAAACCGTTCGATTAGCTGTTTTTGAGTTCACTATGTACAGATTTATTCTACCGACTTTCACTGCTTTATTAAAACTGTTTTATACATGAAATCGTTTGCACACTCAACTTAAACATAATTAACCATTTACATAGCAGTGTTAACATTGTCAGAATGTGTTTCACTGATTTAAAAAATCCAGTCGAAGGGCAGACGCCATTTTGTTTACATGTCATATAGTCGGTCTTTAAAATATACTACCCATCAAAAGTTTAGACTCACTAGTGTAAATGTAGCCACTTACTTGTCCACTGTTCTAAACTAGCTTTTTGCAAAATATTCCATACTGTTTAAAGGTACTGTTTAGTTATGAACTGGTGTATTGTAAAACATATTCGTAACATTGAAAAGATTATTGTCATGAGTTCAGTAAATGATTAAAATCTGTGAAAATTGGCGAATTCTTAACAAAACTTTACACCAAAACGCATCTGTTCACATGCACGACATTTGCTCATGCCTTTCGCAATTTGAAGCATCATCCTTGTGCAATTCATCTGCATAAGGTTTTCAGTTGGTTCCCCCAAGTTGGTGGAGAAATTCATCTTCGATGTAACCACATACATATACATAACATATAGTGAGTGCTTTAAGTGAGTCTAAACTTTTGATGGGTAGTATAAAATAAAATGATAGTTTGTAGACATTTAACATGACGGTAAGATAAATACGTTAAATACTGCTACAAAGAGGCGTACATCAGACCGTATTACCCCCGAGAGAAGCATACAACTTATAATATAAAGGATGCGTCATCGAGTGATTGTTACTCAAGAGGTGTTACCTCACCAAACTATTGGTATTGAAAGAGCGCTTCAAGAACAACGTCAAACCATCCATTCGCGCCACTGTCTCAACGGACTACATATAAACCTGAATATACCTAAAATGTGAAATCAACTTAACAGTGACTAAAGTTATGTCCGATGTATTATCATAAATCCAAACATTGACTTCTCCAATAAGCCCTCCTTTTCAGGTGAAAAATTGTTTTGACTTTGCGAGTGTTTATTGTAGGTGACACCGCGGCCGATTGGACGACAAAACCTCCTCCTTTTCTGGTATCATCACTATTTCATAGCGGTTCCAAAACACATCCTTAAGATAAATCGAAAATCGTACTTTGCCACTGCTTTTAGCAGAGTTTTGACACACCTGACCATGTGACCGTGATACGAAACCCGATCGTAGCTATCTAGAGAGCCCAAGGGACGCAAACTGCGCTTCAAATGACTGGAACACCAATCTTATACAGTCTCATCAGCGTTACTGATAATATTTGGCACGGGTGGCCCAGTTATTTGAAGCGCCGCAATATGCTGCACGGAGTTGCGTCCCTTGGGCTCTCCAGATAGCTACGATCGTGTTTCGTATCACGGACCACATCGTCAGGTGTGTTAGCACCATGGGTTTGTGGGTTTGTTTTACCAATGTGGTGAATGTTTGTAAACCCAAATCCGTAGAAGCTTTTCTCCCACCTGTATTGATTACTATTAGCATAACCTTATTCAAAGTTCCATTCTCGCGAATCGCAACATAAGAAGCGGGGCGGCGGGGTAGCCGAGTGATTAAAGCGTTCTCTCGTCACGTCGAAGACCCGGGTTCGATGAGTACAATGTGAGAAGCCCATATTGCCAAAAGCGGCGTAAATCCAAACTCACTCACTCAATCACTCACCTAAAAGCAGATGAAACTAATATGGTTATTGTATGATATTTAATAATAACTAATCCTGAAAGCCAACCGCTAACATCTCGTTTTGGCCGTACACATCGGTGAATGTTATGAACATAAACTGCAAATGTCGGCTCTCTTCTTGATCCTGTGTATGAATTGAGTCCCCGATGGCCATCTCGGAAAATGATAGTCCTTGATAAGAGTCTGTTTCCTTATTTTAGACAATCTATTTCACCTCAAGATATTCTTTTTCTAAAATATACCCTTCAATGTAACTTGGAATACCAAAACAAAGGGATGTTGAGATGCACTGAATGACATGTGTTTGGAACAAAAAATAGTTTTCAAGAAAATATGGCAGCAACAAAATTTTGGTTGAGACTTTATTATAACAATAAATTCATCTGTTACCAACTAATATACCAAAAACAATAAGTATGATATACTGATTCACGTGACAAAAGGTTCATGGATGTTTCTACAACGGGTGCAGTGCATGCTGTTCACTGACTGGTGGCGCGTGGTCCTGTGCTTAAAGCTCAGGTCACAAATCGGTGAAGATAAGCAGCGTCGAGCTCGGAGAGTCCTTGGATGGGTGACCGTGTTTGGCAGCTTGACTCCTGAGAGTTTCTAGGACTTGAGTCCTGCCCCACAACGAAGCACATGTGACACATGTGGTCTCACCTTAGGCAAGTGAGTTTGTTCAAAATTGTCTCTGTTCACCCAGCAGGAAAATGGGTACCCGGTGGAAAAAAGTCATATGACTATAACCTTCTAGCGCCTAACAGGCAGCTTGGGTTATCCGGGGTAATAATGGCCTTGATTGTTAGCGCTATGAGCATACCTAGTGTGGAGTTTGGCGCTATATAAATGGACACATTATTATTATTATTAATTACGATGTGATCACTGCTTCCGGGTCACTATACTCTTGTGTTCACTTATTTCACAGGCCAGCATACTGTGCAGTGCTACGTATACAAATGCCATATACGGAAGAAAGTTATACGTTTACAGTATTTACAGAGCTAGTTTCACGTTTATATGAATTGATAGAAACTCATTTATCATTCACTTTCAAAGCGATGACTGTGGTCAGGAAGTGAATTTCAGTTTACACGACCACATGGCACATTTAAACTTCCTGAACTCACTTTCTATGCGCTAGCATCACTGTAACAACCGGACACGAGCAAGGGTACAGGGTACAGTGCACACTCGACACCGTAAGAAGCACATACTCTCCTTACAGTCTCTGTATGAAAGCAGTAGGGTAAGAGTTTTATGCTTGTGTGTGAAGTATTTCGCTTTAGGATTGTACTGTCCTCAGCATGCTTGCCATTAGTAATAACGTACGCCCTGGGGCACTGGGGCAGGATGTGTGTAGTATTTTTGCATTGAAAACATACCGATGAATTTCACTTTATACAAAAATGTAAATCAAATAAAGTGAAAGTAAGATTGCTAATCCTCATAACTTTACCTTGCCAGTTGAACATTAAAATCTCAGAATTGTATTCAACTTAGGATAAAAGTTGTTTAACAAACGATCATAGTTTCAAATCGCTATTATTGGTTTGTATTACAAGGGTGTGTGCACATTAAAATGAAACACCGAAAACAAGGAGGGTTGGTTTCTACGGTGGTCTAAGTTAACGCTCATCACGCACCGCACGTGCATTTGTTTCTCTGTTCCAACTACTGCGCGTACCCCCTTGTAATACAATTCAATTGGTAAGGTAAAATTATGAGGATACGCAATTTTAATTTCACTTTATTTTATTTACTTTTTTGTTTAAAATGAAATTCATCGGTACAAACAGACTATAGTTAATGTTAAATGATCCATGAGACTGTGATTCGGCAACGGGCTTTATATAAGTACATTGTACGTGGTTTCCTAGACTTTCACAAGGTAATACTTCATAGTTTAAATGATAATTTATAAAAGATATAAATAACCCTCTATCAGACTGGCGTCCCTCCACGTATCTAAGCTTGCGTCTTTGAAGGATAGAATTACTATACACCTATGGGCTTAGCCTTCAGTACAGCCTTGGAGCAAGGCTATTGGTTTCGATTTCTCGAGGTACAGCTGAGTCGACAATAGTAGTAGTAGTTTTTAGGTTGAACGTGTATTGTTTTCAAGGAGTAGTATTGAATGTTCTCAGCAATTAAATGTCACGACTCCCACAGAGAGAAGATTCACCACAATAGGGAGGGAGTCTAGTTTTACGCCGCACTCAGCAATATTCCAGCTATCTGGCGACGGTCTGTAAATAATCAAGTCTGAACCAGACAATCCAGTGATCATCAGCATGAGCATCGATCTTCGCAATTAGGAACCGATGACATGTGTCAACCAAGTCATCGAGCTTGACCACCCGATCCCGTTAGTCGCCTCTTACGACTGGCATGGGTTACTGAAGATCAATATTCTAACCCGGACCTTCACGGGTTTTCACCACAATAACTCATAATAATGGACCGTTCATAATTTATGGCAACGGGGTGATGATGATTTTTATGCAGAAGCATGTACAGTGTGAATCACCTCCCTAACATTTATGTACAAAGTAAGTGATTCCCTCTACCTTTGCATATCATGTACAAAATCAATGCCCCCCCCCCCAATTCCCCTTCCCATAATTTTAAGCAATTTTTTAAAATATCCTTATGAACAAAATTGATGACACCCACCCCACCCATTACATGTGAACAACATTGATGACCACCCCTACCTCCCAGAACCTCCCTTAAAATTATCATCACAACCCCCACCCAGGCACCCCACCCAAACGCCCCTAGCCATAAATTATGAACGGTTCCTAAAGTCAAATTCCATTTGCCTTAAGTACTTTTAATACCCTATTTTCTTTGGATCATGTTTTGATGATTTCATTACGACCATCCAACATAATGAATAAAAATGCAAACCTCGGTGAATTTTCGGACCTCGTTGTCATGATAAACGGATGAGTGATGAAGCATACACGATAAGCATCCGGTTCTTGGTGTCTCGTGGTAGAATAGTTGCCCGTCACTTCCAGAGACAACCAATATTTCCTGCCGGAGATTGTGCCTCGAGTTCTTGTTAATGATGAATCACGATACGGTTTAGAGTTCTGGATTCCAAAATAACATAACATCACAGTTCGGAGTGAGCGCAATCATAATTTGGGATCAGATCAGTAGAGAACGATGAAAACTATGTCATACAAGGTTGCTAAATTTGATTTAAAACCGAACGCGTAGTTTTTAGAGCTATTATCATTTCGTTATATACCTCTGATTTTCCAACACAGTACTTTTATCTCCATTCTACCATAACCGAGTTATTCAGATTGAAATACAATACATACTGTGTTGGAAAACCAGAGGCATATAACGTGCTTATATACCTCTGAATGACTTTGATTAACCAATCACAATCCAGTATTGACTGATGTTAGAATGGCAGTCATACATGTTTAATGTCCCTTAATAACGTTGGGGCAATCATATTTTCCTATGAATTCATAATAGGCTATATATATTGTGTCTGTACATGGGAAATGTAGTTTTGCTTTATCAATACGAGGTAGGAATCTCTTATATTGCCTGGCGTAGTGCTGGAAAAAGTAGTTATTGAAGCTCTTGGATATCAAGATGTTATTGGACCTATCGGCCATTAGCACTTCTGTCAAGAACAATTTATTGAAATGAAATGATTTGTTGAAGCAAAAAGCAGTATTTAGAGTGAATGTTTATGAAAAGCCCAAACTTGTTTTATCCAATGAATGATACCACCTTACACGTCTTGCTGTCGGTCGTCATATACAGATGTATTAGTTGTCCTAG